AAGCCTCTACTTTGACTAGACCGCGGTTCAAAACTTATTTTAAGACCTCTATTTCCATGTGTTTCGAGTTTTCTCGCTAAAGAGTCGATTTGTTTACCCGAAAGATTACTCAATATTACTTAAGATATGTAAGTCATAAATTTTTACCTTCGCACGTGGGCTCGCCGTATTCTTTCGTATTATTTAAATACTATTTTCAATCTATCCCATATGGAATATTCAAATATTTTCTTAGCTAGCGCCTACGCGAACACAGGCTCAAGTTTTTAATGACTTGGCAGTTAATTATTAAGAATCGGTACCTAGAACACTCTTGTTTCATTCACCAAACCTTCTGTTTCATTCTAATTCATAAAAAAATATCTGTACTATAAAGTAGAACAGTTTCACTATAATAATTCACTTCTATTAAATGTCTGATGAATGTATGGTTTGGTTGAATGAAAACGACGTCACAGTAGGCGGAGAAGTAGGCATTTCTGTTCGAGCTTTACTATGATTATTGTGAATCTAACGTTCAACAAGAATTTTAGATAACTCGTGGTCAATTCTTTTTTATTCGAGCATAAATTTTAACACGCTTGTTCATTTATTTGCCTCCTAATGCTCAGAAAAAATATCAGAAAAATAACTTTATCTGCCGGGAATTAAGTCTCTACCTTGTTTTACCAAAAAAATTACTTATTTTACATTTGTTCGAATGTTTAATAATCGAACTCAGAAAATTTTAGTTGTTTATACTCATCAGTTTATCTTCAATATGATAATCTCAGAAAAAAATGCCAAAAATATCGTCAGAAAAATGATCGTAATAAAAAAGGAAGAATAAAATGTAAATATATAAATTGGGAACTTATTCTTTTTAATTAATAGGAAGTAGCTTTATAACATTTCAAGGTGATTGTTTCGATATATTTTTAATGACATTTTATTAGAAAGTATGAACCTATACCTAAAAAATACTGCATTAAATTCAGTTTTTCTATAAACCAGTGGGTTATGCAAATCTCGTATGCCTAATTTACGTATACACTTCTCTTATATGGTCCGGTAGACAATAGAAATTTTGGGAGACATGATATATTTGATAATTTACATTACTGCGTGGACGAAAACCAAGAGGAAGAATTCTTTAAGTAGGAGTGGAAAGTAAAAAGGGGTCCAAAATGTGACAAGACAGAAATAACTGACAGGAAGTGGCAACAAAAAAATCTAGTTAATGGCTTAATGGCGTTTTTAACGCGAGGCGATCGATCAAAATAGTCTCTTGTTAATTAAATAAATAAATTACTAAATGAACTCTCATTTCGAGCTGTAATTTTGAATTTATTTTTTAATTTTCTTGATTAGTTACAGTTTAAAATTTAAAATGTTCTCCTCAGATTAAATTGCTATAAAAGGATTTATACAGTATGTCCAAAAATTAATAAATTGCTTATTAAATAATTTTTCTATATAAAAATAGTGGTATGTACACATATACACTCACCGGCACGAAAAACGGGTACCTTGAAATTTTGATGTATTTTAAAATTTAATATATTTTGTCCTAGTCGGCCGATTTTGATGACTTTTTGAGAAATATGTAGCGAAATTATTTTACTTTTTAGAACTTTTATACGAGGGAAAACAAAATGTTGATATTTTGTGTTTTTTTCAAACTTTCACCAAAATAACAATATTTTGTGTTTCCTAGTAGAATTGACAGTTGGGAACTTTAATTTTTAATTTAGAAGAGATAGGTACTAAAAAGTCAAATAATTTAGCCACAAATTGCTTAAAAGATCATCAAAATCGGTCTGTTAGAACACAATATATAAAACTTTAAAATACATCAAAATTTTAAGGTGCCCATTTTTCGTAGCGGTGAGTGTAGTATAGTGGTATAAAAAAAAATAAGTATAAACATATAATAATAATTAATACTAATTTTATTACGAACTTTTAAAACTGAATTATTGTTAAACAGGAAAAGATTAGTTAAATCCACATATTACAGACTAATCCAAAAAAATTATCACTTGTCCAATTATCTTGAAAGCAACCTACAACAAAAACCTAATATTTGTGTACCTAATAATTTATCATTTCTGTTCCAAATATTATTTTAGGAGATAACGCAACTGTATTGTCCTTACTAAAACCGTTTGTTCCTTAATAATTTATGGTATCACGCAATTGGTATTGATCACAGCAAATTTAACGTCTTCTTCTTATCGACCCACTCTTTCTCTATCAAGGAAACACTTTCTTTCAAAAACTATCAATTTAAAAAAGGATGACATGAACCTAATTTCATAAGGTTTCTCCTTGTAACTTAATTGATGTTTATAAAATGATAATGAATGGTGTAATCAAATTGGCAAATAAAAGTATAATTTGCGTGGTCAAATAGAAGTAATCCAAAATCTACATATGAGGAGACTCAACTACATATCAGCAAAGTGGAAGTGATCCAAAATGAGAGACCTTATATAGATATCTCAACTATTTTTCAATTCAAGAAACCTATCTTGTAATGAAAAGCTGTTTTTCTCCTTATAGTCTCATAACAAAAGCTTAAATTTTACGAATAGGTTTCGAATACACATAGATCTTCCCGATAGTAATTTTTGTTGAAGAGATGGATATTCGCAATTACTTCTTTCCAAAATGACACCCTGTGCAGCGAAGATTAAATAACGTTTGAGGACATAACAAATAGCGATATTAGACTATTCCCAACAGCTGCAATCAGATTTTATTAAAGAGGTTTGTACAAATCAGTGTTTGTCAAATGAAAACAAGCCGGCGTTTAGTCCTCATGTTTTTGTAGCTACTTACATATACCGGCTATATTTAGATTGGACAAATTTAGTGTACTCTAGGACGTATTTCCTGTATATTTATATCGGGAGTTAGTATTTTTATTTGTTCTCGCTCTAGCTTATTTTGACGGATGTAAATAAAGGCAATCCTCTTCTATTGTTTCGTTTTTTTAAACAACGGAACAGGATGGCTGTTTTATTTCTATAAGTCTCATTGGGTAATTGGTTTGCATAGTCATTTCACTTTTTCCTATATACACAGACCAATATTCGGTGTAACCGAAAAAAAACGACGTCAGAGTAGCCTTCAAAACAACTAATCACTAGATAAGTTATCGTGACGCCGTTTTTTCTTGGATCGTATGAAATATTACCAGTTACGGTTGTATGATATGACATTACAATCGTGCTATTTAAGTTCATGATTTTAATATACCTACAAGAAATTGCCCTACGCAAATAACGATATATATTTGTTTAATCATATCTCTTATCAATCAAAAGTGTGTCAGATCAAAACTGTTTCAATTGAATTACAATTGGATTCAAATAAATAATCCTAACTTATATGTGATAAAATAAATTGGTTGGTTGAAACTTGCTCTTGCTAAATTTATATCTTTTGTGTGCGTGATTTTATCGTTTACTCTTAATAACAAAAATATTAATAAGGTACCAAGAAAATACAGAAAGATACATTTTTCATCATATTCTGAGCAATTATGAAAAATTATGACAAATTTTTGAGAGTTTATAAAACATTATGTCTTGGCAGGTTTGTGTATATGTATGGTAATTCTTTTTAAATAAGATTTTGCCTAAATAAGATAAAATAATTAAAGAATAATTAAACAAAAATCCTGTGTAATATATTCGAATATCTTATCATAATTTTATGGTCTATGATACTCATTTTCTCTCACGTTTAAAAAAAGAAAAAAGTTGTATGTAAAAAATGGTTCACCAAATAAAAAGTATTTTTAACAGCATAGTAAGTAAAAAATGTACAAAACCGTCTATTTCTACTATTTCTAGTCTTAGAACAATTTTATCCAAATGCTGTATTACGAACTAAATTAAATTATTATATATAATATAATTATTTTAAATTTGTAATACTTTTCGAAACATGATGAATTCGTTATAATTTAAAACAGGCAATATAAAGATGATTTTTATTTATAAAATATTATTTTCAGCACAGAGTATAGTAAGAGGCCATAACCCTTGAGACCGAGGTGTGCGTACAGTTTATTTTAAAACAACACAGTTTATTTTCGTTATAATAAAAGTGACAGCGTAATACTGGCAATTAATTAACTCCAATACTTTAATGAGCTAGGTCGTGACAGTGCCCAACTAATTTCCATTTCGTTTCTATTCACTTACTAATTATCAGAGAAAAATTAAACAAACTAAGTGACCTTAATATGTATTTGTATATATGCCACGATGACTTCTGAATTTTCTTTAGAACCTTTTTTACCAACTTATTCAGCCATATGAGACTCGAAAATATTTTTGTCTTCGTTTTGGTTTGTTGAGTCACTCTCTCTATTTTATCATTTGTATTATCTCCAAATTATAAAAAAAATAAATGTAAAACAATTGTTTAATATTTTATTATTCTAATGTTATTGTATTTATTTTTTTCAGTAATTCAATAGAGACAGCTCATTTTATCTGATAATAAATATCTTAATTTAATTAGCTGACTGTAACAATAAACTTTGAATAATTTTGTAATTAACCGAGTCAAATTGAGTCAATACAAGATATACTTATATAATTATCTTCAAATGTATCAAATGCTTGCGGTTTGTGTATATTTATGACAAACAATATGATTTTTTGCGACAGGAAGGTTTTTACTCAGCAAAAATTCAATATTGACTGATAGCGGTTTTTTATATATTTTTTTTTAAATTTTATTTTTAGATATTAGGATAAAAATCTTAAACAGATTTTTATTGAAATAAGAACTGGCTAGGAAATTTTATTTTTAATGATTAAAAACTTGTTTTTATGTAAAATGTTTGAAATGAACAAAATTAAAAATAATTAGGTAATTTTCTTTAATTAATATTAAATATTAAAACATTGCTCAAGTTTGTGTACGCAATAATAAATAAATCCTTTTCAAAACATGACGTTGATGGAACTGCAATATTTAATAATAAAAAAAAGACATACCTGACTGCTACCCGGACGGAAACATCATCGTCTTCCATTTTCTTTGTTTTTAAGAGAAAAATCTCCTGCAAAAAGACACAATAATATTACGCCGCGTCTTGCAAATAGACACCTTGTCTAACACCTACCTAATTTTGTTTAAATTTTAAACAACTATCTGAGAAACTTGATAAGTATGGAAAAACTTTATCTCATCCCGACGCACAAAGGACGGATCAATTTCATTTCCGACTTGTTCATGCGGTTTTTCAGTCATTTTTTACGGTAATTTTTCAATTTTCCGTTTTTCTAAGATCGCTTTGACACATCTGATCGGGCGGCAGGGAAAGTATCTGACATGACGGTTACAAAATCGAATGGGAAAGACGGAGATGGCGATATTTTAGAATGAACTTGAAGTATTATGGATCGACCGCCGAGAGTTGCTCAGAGTAAAATTGGACTGCGACCGCTCGTCGCAGCAACTCGAAGGTAACTAACTGTATATATGATGGGGCTTACACGATCGGGGAGCTACCTGCACACTACAGGTAGATAGGAACCACTAACCATATCTGCCGGTACTTCGCGGTCTTTTGTTGTAGTTCCGCCTGCTTTGTTTCAGATTTTTCTAACCAAAATGGCCTATTCTCCAACAAAATTGTTCTACCTTTTGACTATCGTATACTTTTCTTTTTGCTGAACATATTAAAAGTCGGACTCAGAAAATTTCAATTTTCTTTACTTAATTTTCCTTAAATATAAAAAGCAGATATTTTTCAATACGCATGAGTACCTTTTTAATTAAGTTACTCAGAAAAATAACTTATATGCAGGTACTTCTGGTACCGTGTTTTGTGGTAGTTTCGGCTGCTTTGTTTCAGTTTTTTCAAACAAAAATGTCCTATACTTCAATAAAATTGTTCTAACGTTTGACCATCGTATATTTTTATTTTTTCTGAACATATTAAAAATCGGACTCAGAAAATTTCAACCGTCTGTAGTTAGTTTTCCTTAAATATAAAAAGCATATATTTTTCAATACGTATGAGTACCTATTTTACCTCATTTACTCAGAAAAATTGCTCAGAAGGATAACTTATATGCAGGTACATTCTGGTACGTGTTTTGTTGTAGTTCGGGATGGCTCAATTCCAGATTTTTGAAACTAAAATGGCCTATTCTCCAATAAAATAGTTCTAACTTTTGACTATCGTATTTGTATTTCTACTGAACATATTAAAAATCGAACTCAGAAAATTGTAACTGTCTGTACTCAGTTTTCCTTGAATATAAAAAGCAGATATTTTTCAATATGTGTGAGTGCCGATTTTACTTCACTTACTCAGAAAAATTGCTCAGAAAAATATCTTATATGCTGGTACTGCTGGTACCGTCTTTTATTCTAGTTCGGGATGCTTTGTTTCAGATTTTTCAACCAAAAGGGCCTATTCTCCAATAAAAACGCTGCTAACTTTGACTATCGTACATTCTTATTTTTTCTGAACATATTAAATATCGGACTCAGAAAGTTTCTACTGGCTGTACTCAGTTTTTCTTAAATATAAAAAGCAGATATTTTTCAATACGTATAAGTACCTATTTTACTTCAGTTACTCAGAAAAAATGCTCAGAAAAATAACTTATATGCTGTCTTTTGTTGTAGTTCCGGTTCCGGCTGATTTGTTTCAGATTTTTCGTACAAAAATCGCCTGTTCCTCAATAAATTTGTTCTAATGTATTACTATATCGTATGAAAACTTTCTCAGAAAAATTAGTACTCTCAAAATTTATTACTCAGTTATTTGAACTCTTGTTTTTCTTCAATAAAAACAGTGAGACTAAAAATAATCATTAAAAGGTGTATTTTTGTAAATTCATACATACATACACACTAAAGGTCGCAAAAGCGTATTGAGGCTCAGAGACCAGCAGGTAAGAAGAAGATACGAAGAGTTCATCAACAGAGTTTCACAGAAAAGGAAAAAATAAGGGATCTTACTCAAGACAAGTTGAAGCAAAGTAAGTATCCAGCTATATAGGACACCTCGGGTTTACCACGTCGGTACTCACAAGATGTGAGCCCCTGAGAACTGATAATTTTTTTTAATACAAGTTTGATTCTTAATAAACTGAAATAAGTAATTATAAAATATTAAAACTATTCCATTAATTTATTTTTATTTATTCCAAATTAAGATTCAAATTTTAGAAATAATATATATCCGACTTGCTAATAAGATTTCTTGTGCACATTGACACTGACATACGTAATATGTATTTTTATATACAACTGATAATTTCGTTATATAATATTTTATTTAATTAATTTTGATATGTCCTCTATTATACGAGTTTTATTCCTTCCGTTATCTGCAATTTCTTAAATTATTGAAAATATTCAATCGATTCATTCTTAATTTAAAAATATATAAAAACATCAATATATTCACTGAGGACAGGTTTAGAGTTTAAAGCTCAGAAATACAGAAAATCACAAGTATTACTTATTTTGTAGTATAAAATATAAATAATTTTTGAAACTTTTAATTTATTTTATAGTTCTTGCAATATATTTTTACTAAATAATTAAACATATTTTGATATGGTTTTCAAATTTCTTCACGTTGAAACTTTTAGCGCCATCTGTGAGCTTTTAAGTATACTTAGCCTTGTTGAAAAATGCTATCTCTACACAGCCTGAAGCTCGTTCAACCTATCGTTAGATGTCTCCTGTGTTGCTAAAAAATAAATATTTTTTAAATATTTTTATAAATATATTAGGTACACATATTTTTGATTAAAAAAATGTAATTGTTTTGTTATCTTATTGAAAACTGGCAAGTACAAAAGAGCAAATACAATTAAACTCAATATATTTACACAGCATATCACTTTAAATGACATAGGTTGGCGTCTATTTTAAGATATATTGTGTACATAAACTATAATAATGTATTTAGTTTCCTTGAATACATTTTGTTATATACTTTAATAACAATAAAATTAAAGTTGTGTACAGCAATTTGATAAGTTGGTTATGCCAAAACGCTTCAATTTCAAGCTATGCTTTGAGTTACTATTTAAAATAAAATAGATGAGACAACTATCAATTAACTGATGCGGTGTTAATTACATGGATAAATTAAGAATTTGACTGTAATAATTTTAGAAATGACGAAAAAAAACTTTTGCTTTAAGACAATACAATTTGCTTGTAGCTAAATTGATTATTTTATTTATAGAATTTTAAAGTAACTCAATGTAACATGGATTTAATATATTAAAGAAGAATCAATCAGCAGGATGTCGAGTTATCACGAAACCCACGCTGGCAGAGGAAGTGAATGAGTCCGATTAAACTAAAAAAAAACATAAATTTAGTCTGTTTAGTCGTCGAAAGACGATATGAATAAAACATTAAAACTCTTCTAACATAGAGAGCCTTCCTAATCAGTTTGCTAAAATAAATTTTTCATTAATTAAAAAAAACGAGCTACAATTTAGAAGAAGAAAATAAAAATATAAGTATCGGTGTTCGAAGTGTGTCTACGATCCTAGGAGTGACCATAGGGCCTTTAAAATATCCTGCCAAGTGTTTCACACATGTTTTCTAGCGTCTCCGAAACAGAGACTGGCTCAGACCTAATATAAACTAAAATCTAATCGCGGCGAAGCTTCACTGAAAATTTGAAAACAGTACGCGGTCTTAGCTTTGAAAAGAGAGTGGTTCGCGTGCTGTTGTTGGCCGTCCAAAGCTTGGTAAGTGAAATTTTATGTAGTACCACAAACCAAAGACCCTTTAGTCCATCAAAAAGACCTGGTGGGCGGTGAGGTTCAGAGTCGCATAATATTGTCGAGACCGAGAAATAAATAGTTCTCAAGCTTAGCCCGACCCGTCTTTAGTGCCTTAAATATTCACTTTAAGTAACGTAGCGGTCTATGAGTAACATGCACTGTAGTAAATCTGTGTTGTGTGCTGTTTTCTAGTCGGTTTCAGTCTGTTTTCTGTACGATTTGACGCCTGTGTGGTTAATGTGCATGTGCCAGAGCAAAATAAGTGCAAGGTAAAGGTAAATAACCTGGGATGCATTGATGTTTATTTGTTGTCTGCCAATATCATTCTCGTTTCTTTTTCGATATGTATCCGTACTCTTCACCTTCGTTTATCTGACGAAATAAAATCATGATTAATATTAATTGAATTTAAAAGAAATATCTTGAAACAAGAAAAAGGGCTTCTGCGAACCATATGCTTTTTGGAGTTCTCAGAAAAGCTAAATGAGACAGAAAGCTCACTTAATAATCATAAATATATTAATACGAAAAGTGAAAATACAGGCTTTTATTTTTTATAGGTAGTAGAGCCTAAGTTTTATCATTTAATACAAGATACTTTAATTCTTAAAATGAATGTTAAATAAAGATAAAACTATTAGTTAATCTAGCAAACATTTATTAAAAACGAATATTTACAAAATCTGTCATATTTCTTATTAAATTTTATTATAAATATATATCTTAGTATTATTTAAATAAACTGTGGGTTTTGTAATGATAAACAGTGACGTGATTATACTGGTTCAATTTCTTGTAGCCCTGTATATAAGAAAATTTGGTAACAAAATCGTGATTTGATGGCACCGACCTAAAAATCGTGATCTTTGACACGAGTTATCTTGTAGTTCTGTAAAATGATATACAGACCCCCCAAAAAAATGATTTTCATCTTATAATCGGCCACCTAAAATTATATCACCAACATTTTTGTTAGAACTTCCTCTGTTTATGTAGGAGTTTTATCTCTACATCCGGAATTTTCAATTTCAAACTCAACCAAACCAATTTCATTCGCTAATTTTGCAATATTTGATAAAATTTTATTTTTTTTCTAAATTTAGCTGTCTGGGAAATTAATAGCCAGTATAATTATATTATTTTTTCAAATAAAATTCATAAGAAGCATAAATCGAAATTGTTTAAAGTAAACTTAAATTAGGTTAACTAGCAAGTTTGATGGGATTTTTTTGCCATTGCAGCAATTAATAGACAAATAATTTTGAATTTCCTGTAAATTGAAACGTCACAAGTTTACTGTAATAGCGAAATTTTTGAACAACATATTAAGTAGATTATCTAAAAAGTGATTTATTAAACAATCAGATTATGTTGGCATAGAATTATGGCTACAAGTATAGATATAGACAGATATTTAACCATGATTTTCTGTTGTTAAATATAATTTTTAAAGGAAACATATTTTGTACTTCAATTTTACTTTAATTACTGCAAGTACTGTATATTTCATTGCTTAAGTACTTGCAAATCAATTGAAAAATAATCAAACAATACAAGATAAAATAAAAAGTAAAATAAAATCCAGAGCTCATTTTTAGTGACACTCTGTATTCTAATTTTTTGATTAAATGTATGTTTAGTATTTAACTATTATTAATTAAAAAAAAAGACGTTTAGATAACCCTAATTAATTCATAGACTTATTTTTTAATCGTACCAAAATTGTTGTTTTTCTGTTTAAAAAAATATGATAATATAGAGAGTATCTAAATATTGTCTTCCGGTAGTGTAATGTACCTAGAGTCTTAAAATTATATTTTTAGATCCTAGTAGTATTTAAAATTAGAATAAAGATCAGCGTACAACAGATAGCGATGTAGTTATCGTGTCTTCGTATATGCGAAAATGTGTTCGATTGATTAGTCATGTATTTCACATCTGCCAGCTTATATCCAAGATTGATTATGTTATGTATTATATCAGTTTGCTTAATGCTATAAAGCTCTGTATCTGTTACTTGTTTGATTTATTTTATTATACGCAGCTGAGATAACAGCCATCTAGATGCTGAAGCTCTGACAATTAGAAGTTTATGTAAGGCGATAGTAAAAATGGAGTAAATTTCAGGTCATTGATATAAAATAAAAGAGTATTATACAGATTCGTGTAAATATTTATATTTAAGTCATTTCTTCAAGCAAATGCCTAACAAACCGAGACGTTGTAATCTTCTTTCCACATAATGACATCATTGCTGGTCTCTGTTCTCTAAAAATAAAATAAATATCAAATACTGGAGCCGCTAACTACAAATTATCGGTTTTCTTGTACTGGCATTGGAAATTAGACCAGCTGTCCTGCCGCCGTTTATCTGCCATTCGAAATAACTCACAATTTTATGTTCCTTTTCTTTTAATTACAGGGAGGCTCACAAGTAAGCCTTCTCAACAATGTTCACGCTCAGGACGTTGACACCACTTATCCTTATTATATGTCAAAGTAAGTTCATAATTAGAGAAAAACAATCACTTTTTAACACTGTCTTCTGATTTTTTTAGATGTTTTAGTAAATTCCCAATTTATACCTTATAACAAACCTCGGGTTAGAACGTATCCTGTCAAGGGTAAGTCTTTTTTTAATTTTATATAAAGACATGAAAGGAAGAAGAATGAAAGTACTCTAACATATCGATATAATTATGTTGGTAGCAATTTTGCAGCAGATATTTACAAGGGATTTGCAATAAGTTGCTATTAAATACTACGAGGAGAGTTTAAAAAAAAATCTGATGGGTCGTCATCTCAATTCTTCCTTCAAGCCCTTTCCTTTACCCTTGATGACTCGGATCCGTGGGGACGTCACTCCCCAAGGCAGTAAGACTTAAATCATACTACCCTCCTGCGGAATGTATTTTTCAACACAATAAAGTGTAAAGTAAATAAATAACGATGTATCCTGCAAAATGCAAGACAAAAACAAAAATAGATACTTATTCTTTCTACTTTCATGTTCCTATTTCATAAGTTTATAATGAAAGGAAAGAATGATATTACACTGAGATATCCATATAATTATGTTGGTAGCAATTTTGCAACAGAGATTTACAAGGGAATTGCAAAAAATTCCTATTAAATACTACGAGGGGAGTTTAATATAATTAAGAACTTATAGAGAAAAAATACACATTTTGAATATATTATTTGCTTCAAAATTATGATGTATCCTGCAAAATGACTGCTTTAAATGCAACACAGAAACAAGTAGATACTTATTCTCTCTACCTTTCATGTTCCTATTTCATAAATTTACATTTTTTGTGAGGAAATTTGTTATCTAGACCTCACAAAATGTATGTATTCCATTATAGCAGACACCTGAATACGATAAAGAACTTCAAATATTATTCTATATACTAGCGTTAGAACATGTTCAAAGAGGAGACCAATCGCCCGAGCCCGACATATTGCCAGATGTAAGTTCGTCATATCCCGAAGTTATACATCCATTTACAACACTGCAAAGACAAAGCAGTGCTACTGCAAGCGGTCAGTGTCTTTTTGCACAACATCCAAGGTGTCGGTCTTTCGTCTACTCGTCTAACAAATAACCGCAGTTCTGTTTCGGATGGTGATGATCCTCTGTCCTTATTGTAGATTTTCTTCTGTATTTTTAACAGTAATCTTTGTGACAAAAATATCTAATCAAGGAAAATGTTTACCTCTAATAAATACTAACCACCATAGGCGCTGGATTGTTAAAAATTAATTTCTGAAGGGATTCAATTGATCCAAATTATTTAAGGGAATACTTGGGCTGATTTACCCATTTTCCTAGTGCCTATTCTAACATCTGTGATTCCATTAGATACAGTAAAATCTTCTCTGAGGTGTTGGTACATTTTCTTTTATTCTTATCATTAATTTGGATTTTGATTATGATTTCTTCGAAGGCTACGAACCGAAGAAGTTACATCCATGCGAGCACAGTTCCTGTTATCCTGCCACAGGAAACTTACTGATAGGACGAGAAAATCAATTGTACGCGTCATCGACATGTGGTTTGTACAGACAAGAAAAATATTGCATCGTGTCTCATCTAGACGAGGAGAGAAAAAAATGCTTTTGGTGCGATTCTACTCCAACTTTAAAACCTAGTCCTCAGCATAATCACAATATCAGCAACATTGTCTACCGGATGTATCCTGGGTAAAAATAAAACCATTTTTGCTCTACAAAATTTTCACAACGAATAAATTTTTAGAACAAGGAAAATATCATGGTGGCAATCTGAAAATGGGAAAGAAAATGTTTATATCCAGTTGGATCTCGAAGCAGAGTTTCATTTTACTCATCTAATAATCACTTTTAAGACATTTAGACCGGCTGCTATGCTAATAGAACGGTCATATGATTTTAAGCAAACGTGGCAGGTATAATAATTGATAAGACTTATTTCACAGAAGCAACACAACAATAGATTAATTATTACAGGTATACAGGTATTTCGCACACAATTGTACTGAAAGCTTTCCAAACATTCGAACAGGATCGCCACGAAATTTAACAGATATAGTATGCGAATCAAGATATTCTGGTCTATCTCCAGCAACAGAAGGCGAGGTTATCTACAGAGTGCTCCCTCCAAATATGTTAATTGAGAATCCATATTCCGAACAAGTTCAAAACCTTCTGAAAATGACAAATCTACGAATAAATTTCACCAAACTGCATACCCTAGGTGATGATTTATTAGATAAAAGAGATGAAATTCAGGTAAATTTTTAAAATAATTAATCATTCAGATTAAATAATTCTGATTTATAATTTTTAGGAAAAGTATTATTACGCTATAACTGATATGGTAGTAAGAGGTTCTTGTTCTTGTTACGGTCATGCAAACAGGTGTTTGCCTTTACCTAATATTGACCCCAAACCAGACATGGTCCACGGAAGATGCGAATGCACTCATAACACCAAAGGACGTAATTGCGAAAAATGCGAAGACTTCTTTAACGATCTGCCTTGGAGGCCTGCTATTGGAAAGCAAACAAATGCCTGTAAGAAATGTAATTGCAACAATCACGCAACTAGCTGTCATTTCGACGCAGCCCTTTATGAAGCCAAAGGCAATATTAGCGGAGGCGTCTGTGATGGCTGCCTCCATAACACTATGGGCTCTAACTGTGAACAATGCAAGCCTTTCTTCTTTAGAGATCCCAACCGTTCCATTAAAGACCCTGAAGTTTGTGTAGGTGAGTGTCTAGCAATTATTTGATGAAAAAATATGATAAAAATAAATATGATGTTTTTTTAGCATGTGACTGTGATCCTCGAGGTTCCTTAGATGAAGGCATTTGCGACTCCATAACTGATCCTGTCAACAATTTGGTTGCCGGAAGCTGTCATTGTAAAACTAATGTCGATGGGCGTAGATGCGACCAGTGCAAGAACGGATATTGGAACTTCACTTCAGCCAACCCAGATGGATGTCAGCCGTGTACATGCAATATTCTTGGAACAATAGACAATCAAGGATGTAACGTTGAGACTGGGGAATGCACATGTAAAAGATACGTGACCGGTAGGGACTGCTTGCAATGTTTACCCCAATATTGGGGTTTGTCTGACAAACAGGATGGCTGTCAGCCATGCGATTGCGATCCTGGTGGTTCCTACGACAACTTTTGTGACGTTATTACCGGTAATTGTAGATGCAGAGAGCATATGTCTGGTAGAACTTGCAACCTACCAAATAATCAATATTTCGTGGCAAGTTTAGATTTTCTTCTCTTTGAAGCAGAAGTAAGTAAAACCGATGGTCAAGTAGTGATAAGAGCACCTTATAAAGACGGTAGGGAGACCACTTGGACTGGTACAGGTTTTGTTAAACTATACGAAGGCAACTTTATAGAAGTCTACGTAAACGAAATTTCAACCTCTATGGATTACGACATAATAATAAACTATGAACCTACCTCACCAGAAACTATCGAAGATATTGTTGTAAAAGTGATACGACCAGATGATGTAGATCCATTAGGAGAGTGCGCTAATATTAATTATGATGACGATATTAAACACACGAACCTTCCATCGAATCAAAGACAACAAATCGTTTACCCGCCTGTTTGCTTAGAAGCTCGCAAACCTTATACCATCAGAATTGAATTCACCAGCTACAATTATCCTTCACCGAGACCAACAGCTTCTGTCCTAATTGATTCCATATGGCTTAAGCCCAGACTGGATAGTATTAAATTCTTTACTGGCTCTGTAGCTGCTTCTAACAGGAAAGATGAATTCGAACGATACAATTGTGGTCATCCATCTATGTTTTACAAAGGTGCTGAAATTCCTGCTGTTTGCAAAAAATACCACTCTAGTATCGCTGCCTACGTTTTTGATGGAGCAAAGGATTGTGATTGTGATCCAACCGGATCTACTAGCAAAATATGTGATCCATACGGTGGAAACTGTACTTGCAAACCGAACGTAGCTGGAAGAAAATGCGATAAATGTGCTCCAATAACTTACGATTTCGGTCCAACTGGCTGTAAAGTTTGCGAGTGTGATAGTATCGGTGCGTTGGATAATTTCTGTAATATCACAACTGGTCAGTGTAAGTGCAGACCGAACACTTATGGCCGAGAATGCAATCAATGCAGAATCGGATTTTGGAAGTAAGTTTTTTATAAAACTATACAATAATGAAAAATAACCATTTATTTTGCAGCTTCCCAAATTGCGAGAGGTGTAATTGCAATGGTCATGCTGATACATGCGAGGCGCATACAGGAGTATGTATAAACTGTAGGGACAACACAACGGGTGCTCACTGTGATAACTGCGTAGAAGGATATTATGGAGATCCAAGGCTAGGTGTTGACATTCCATGCAGACAGTGTCCATGTCCTGGACCTGTTGGCTCGAATCATTCATTTGCTGACAGATGCTCGCTTGATCCCGTTACAAAAGACGTTACTTGCGAATGTCAAGTTGGATACGCTGGTAAATTAGTTAAAATATATTTAGATTAGCCTTTGTTAACATCTGATTTCTAGGAACAAGATGTGATGTCTGTGCAGACAATTATTATGGAAACCCAGAAGTTCCAGGTGGTAGTTGTCAGCCTTGTGACTGTAACGATAACATTGATTTGCTTAGACCAGGAAATTGTGATCCACATACTGGGAAATGTCTTAATTGTCTCTATGATACGACTGGTGATCACTGCGAAGTTTGTAGGCCAGGCTTTTTCCGATACACCCTTGATGGAATTTGTGAACGTAAATAAATCAAATTTATATAATTAGAACATTGACAAAACCACGAAAATTATTTTCAGCATGCATATGTAATGCTTTGGGAACAAACAGGACTGCAGAAGAATGTAATCCGTTAGGAGGTCAATGTTCGTGTTATCCAAATGTATCAGGCCTTCGTTGCGATGAATGTATCGCTGATCACTGGAAAATTGCCAGTGGTTCTGGATGTGAACCATGCGACTGCGATCCAAATGGCTCTTACAGGTCTCAATGTAATAAGGTAAAAAACTGAAAATATTTTCTATGATCTCGTACTACTGATTTTTATTTCTTTAGTTTGACGGACAATGCGAATGTAGAGATGGTGGATTTGGAGGTAGACAGTGTAATGAATGCTTGCCAGGATTCTATGGTGATCCTAAAGTTCAATGCTTACGTAATATTTTTCAATAATTATTTTCTTCTGTTTTAATTATTTTCTTTTTAGCATGTGAATGCCATATTCTCGGATCTTCACGTCAAAATTGCAACATGCGTACTGGAGCATGTGAATGTCGTCCAGGAGTTGGTGGGCATAACTGTGACGTATGTAAGAAAGGATATATTGGAAATGTGCCAGATTGCGTTCCATGTGGTGAATGTTTCGATAATTGGGACCGAATAATACAAGAAAGCAAAAGTGTGTTTTATTAAATTTCAATTCATTTAAATCTATTATAAAACTCTTCTTATCATTTTAGATCAAACGTTGGTGATCATTGAACGGGCTAGTGATATTAAAAAAGTTGGAGCAACCGGTGCCTATACAAAGGAGTTCGATGTTATGCAAGGTCAGCTAGATGAAATTGATCATCTATTAAACAGCACTGGGGAAATCGACGTAGACGCTATAGAGGAAGAATTACAAATTCTAAGAAACCAGATCAATGAAACAGAAAACGACAAACTAAACAAGCTCGATAACAATTTAGCAAATATTAAGAAAAATATTATTTTAACAAGCAGAAAAGTTAACACTCTCAACGAGAGCATGGCTGACCTGCAAGACAGGATCCGTGAGCTTGAGGGTAACGGAACAAAACTGTTAGAAGCCAACGTTAAAGGTGCGCTAAACCTTATTGAAAAAGCTAAAGAAAAAGCGGACCTAGCAGCACATAAAGCTGAACATTCGCGTGAAGATGTGAAGTATGCAGAAAACCAATGTAGAGCTACAGAAACGTTTATTAACAGTACTAGAGACAAATACAAGACCCAGTCTGAAGAGAACGAAGATGAATTAAGAAATATTTCTACAAAACTCGAGCAACTTAATCAAGAAATACCCAATCTAAATTACTTGGTGTGTGATGGACATGGCGATCCTTGCGATTCAATCTGTGGTGGAGCTGGATGTGGAAATTGTGGTAATTTCATATCTTGCGAAAATGGTGCAAAACAACTAGCGGAAACTGCTATAGACTTGGCTAAGAAAACAGAGGGGACTCTTAAAAATATAGAAACCTTGGCCAATAATTTAATCCGAAACGTGTCTATAATTAATACCAACGAAACTCGAACATTAGCTCAAAAAACTTACGATACTATCAGTACTGAGCTCAACAGAACGAATACTTCGTTAGAGAGAGCAAACCAAATGATCAAGGAAATGAGGGAATATATGGTATTGAATGGTACGAAACCAGAAGATATCAAAAAGCTCGCTGAGGAAGTTTTAAAGAAAAACGTACATAAAACCCCAGAAGAAGTAAAAAAACTTGCTGACGACATCAAGAATGCTGTCGATAGATTAAGACACACAGAAGATATTATTAGTGCTACCAGAAACGACTTACGCAAAGTAAATGAGTTGAAAGAAAATGCTAAATATGCTAAGTAAGTGTTTTTATGTTTATTAAATTATTCATACTTAAATTAAATAACTTAATTTTTAGATCAAATGCCACTAAGCTCTTAACTGATGCTGAAGCAGTGAATCAATCTCTCAACAAGACTCAGGATGCCCAACGCGAAGCTGAAAATACTATTAATAAAGCAGGAGAGGATTATAATGAAGTCGAAAATATACTTGACAAGGCAGGTTTGAGTTAATGTTTCGGAGACATAAAATAATATCTTATATTTCCAGATTGATAAAAAAACCAAAGATGCCGATGGCGTTACGTCAGCTATTCGAAGTCAAATAAATGAAATCAAGGGTAACTTGACAGAGCTCCAAACAAACATAACTGAAAACGAGAATTACGCCGACCGAGTTATTCAAGAATCTAAAAATATTTTATCAAAAGCAAAGAATACAACCACCGCTTCAAAGGAGCTACAAACAAAATACGAAGATGCTAGAGAACGTCTTGATAAAAACTTGGATAAAGTGAAGAATACCAAAGAAAGATCTACAGATTTGTTCAACAAAGCTGTAAATTTGGTGGACAAAGTTACCAAAACTCAAGAAGACATCAACAAATTAGAAATGAGCAATCACGGTACCGAATTAAATAAACTCGAAATGGAACTTCAAGACCTCATTGCGAAAATGGGACGTTATACCAAAACACTGGAGAACAAAGTGAAATATTACAAAACATGCACATAAAAAAAATTATTCACTGCCTAAAAAATATTGTTAGTTTCAAAGGAATCAATTCCACTGTGTACATATTATAATATTTAAGACGACGAAAGTTTTAGAATCTGCTGCTGTGATATTACATGACAACAAAATCGATTTTATTAAAAAAGATATACCAAATTTGAGTTTAATCTTACAATGTAACGGATGATTCCTTTAAAACCAGATTTCAATCTTGTTTCAGTTAATTTGGAACACGTCGTTGTACATAAAGTAGGTAATTTATTTAAAAGAGTTATTTACTTATAGCTTTTAAGTAAAAGTGCATTCTTTTTTACATTATGCTTGTATATAGTTTATTTTTTCAAATTTCAAGCCATATCTTCTAATTTAGTTCGTAAATGTGTTTTTACAATTACTACTACTAAACTATTTTAGGCGTCTTAGGTGTCAATGCTTATTTTGTAAATAGTAATACATTTTTAAAATACTATGTGGTTTATTAAATTAATTAACGTAGTCTATACACTAACAAGAAAATATTAAATAACAATTATTCTAAATATAGGTTCGTATTAAATAACTATCTTTGAAAAATATACAGTAAAATAATGTACAATATCACATATTATACTAAAAAATACCATATTTAAATTATATCACTTCAATAAGCTAGACTAATATTACATAGAGTATGAATGGATGATAAGAAATGTTTTTATTGTTACTTTGGGAAGGCAAGTTTTCCAGTTTTATATGAAGGTAAAAATATAAATAGAAATAAAATACATTTGATTGGCACTTGGCTTTTTTTATCTGAGACATTTCATGTCCTAGTATTTTCTTTTATCCAGTCTAAATATTCTGTAACCCTAGTGTACACTCCTGGATATCCCGGCTCACCACATTTATTTCCAAAGGACACTACCCCTACTTGTATCCATCTAATGCCCCAATGAAGCATCAAAGGTCCTCCTGAATCCCCCTAAAAAAATAATTTTAAAGAAGGTGTATTTTTTTTAAATAAATAAGGATTAAATGTTTACTTGACATGCATCTGTGCCACCCTCCGAGTAGCCAGCACAAATAAAGTTACTTGTAATAGGTTGGAAATATGCTTGATTACAATCCTCGTTTCTCCATACTGGTAATATAGCTTGTCTTTGAACGGTACTTTCTTTCCCTCCATAAAACGTCGTACCCCATCCAACCACAGTACTCCTTTTACCCGCAAACTGTTCTGTTTTTATTTCTGGAGGAGGTAAACACAGTGGAATAATATATTTTGACTTTCTGGCTGGCCTGTCCAGTTTTAATATGGCGATGTCATTGTAGAACCCTACACGACTGAATTGCTTGTGAGCCCTGATTTCTGTTACTTTGAATGTGACAGGGGCTGAAGGTTCATCGTCTCTTTTTAAGTCTATATCACCCAGACGGACTGTAAATTGACGAGCGGAAAATCTAAAAGTTAAATATAAATATTCCAGAGAAATATTAGTAATTATGAAGATTTATTTCTTACGGTCTTTGCCTAGAGTCTCTCGTACAATGAGCAGCAGTTAAGATGTGAGTGGCTGTTATCAAAGAACCTCCACACCAAAATTCAGTTCTTCTGGATCCATGAAGGAATATAGCTGCCATCCAAGGCCAGCGTCCTGGTAAAGCTTCTTCACCCCCTACAACCCTAAATTTTGCAAATTCCGGCTGACCACAATCTAAAAAGTTTTATTTTAGATTTGAAAATTACTTTAAGTTGTTCGATCAAAGTTTTTACCATCAGGATTTACAAAATTATTTACTATCGGTGGTAGACTAGGTACATTTAATGAGTTTACTGGTGACACAACAACCGGCTTAGTTTGAGCCAAAACTAATGACGTTATCGATGTTGTTATAGGTCTAGGCGTTGAAGGTTTCTCTGTGTTGTAGTAAACAGTAGCTGGAGTAATGGGAGCTTGAGTGGTTGTAAGCTTAATAATATTTGAGGTAGTCGATTCAGCATTTTCTACAGAGTTTTGAGGACAACATACTCCAGGAACGAATAAACTCTTGAAGCAAAGGGACTGACGCAAATTGCCTAAGTTCAATAACAACTGAGGGCAATCACTTAAGTCATTGCAATACCTAAAAATTATTAACTATCACCCAAAGAGAAATTACTTTCGTAAAAATTTCCATGGCAGAAAAAAATGTTGTTTGAAAGTAAGTAAATTGCATTCTATTATCGTATATCTTGAGATTTATCAGAGAATTGAAATGCAACAACGTATTGGGAAAAAACTAAGGTCCGGTCAAAACATTTAAATAATAACAAGCTGAGCGGATACAAAACTTTCTCCGAATAATTCTGAGAAGGTTACGTAAAAGCAAGGTCGCATTATGAAGAATATTTAAGAAAGCTTTACTAGGTCAGTTCGAATCTCACTTAGGGCTATATTTACATCTCAATTTGTATCGCCTAATGTATATGCTTTATTTATGTAACGGCCATTTACATAATTATATTATAATAACACAAAACTCGTACCCTTTAGTACCCTCTGGAGTTGTACAAGTATTGGAATCATCGTCGCTATCATCATCATCCTCTTTGTAGTCAATTTTCTCGTTTAATTCTGCTGGTTTTTCGATTTCGGGTAAAGGCAAAGCTTCCCGAACCAGAGGGGCTATGGTATCCGTGACATTTCTTCCTAAAACATTTTTACTAATTGTATAGAGCGCGTTTGGTACCTCCTGTGACGCTTTAGCTCCATCTCCGCTTCTAGTCATGTTGACCAAGTATCTTCCTACAGTGTTCAAAGCTCCCAGAGTTTCTGTAATTTTAAATATCGTTTCTGGACGGAAATGTCGACCAGATTCCGCTTCATCGCGGCTTGATCTTCGAAATTGCTGGTATTCTTCTGGCGATACTGATCTAGGTCTGTAAGTCTTCACCCATCGAGAGGCTTCACCGTTGTTGGACCACGGTTGATGTTGGTACGAATAATATTGGTTAGGGTTGAATTCGTCAGACAGTGGAAAAAGAAAACATAAAATCAGAAGTCTTCCTAAAAATTGCAGAACATACAGGGTAAAAAAATGAGGTTGAAACCCTTAAAAAATTAAATTTATTATGTTTTATAACGAATAATATTAATTATGACGACGTTTCTTGGCTACGCCTTTGAATTTAATAACTTATTTAAGCAAGACTCGCCAATGGTGCATTAAGCCATTTCACTTTCTCTGTCAACTCTTCAAATGAAGCTATATCCGTTTTGCCGGCCCTGAAACAACACCGAAATCTTGTTGCATAATATACAGGGGATTCTAAAATTACACAACCTTCACAGTGTCGCAATGTACGTGCGTGTGGTATTCCCCGAGGTTTTTTGTAGTCATCGTTTACTTTGCGCTTTGAATTTTAAGTTTAACCTCATTTACAAAAATTAAATGACAATTTAAAAAACAGCAGATTATTAGTACTGTTTCTGTTTGTCCCATTAATATCTGACACTCACATAATAATATTTAAAGAATAATTAATATATACAGGGTGAGTCAATGTAAAGTGCAAATATTTTTAGGGGTAGTCGACGACATGAGGTTTTTTACGCAAAAAAATTGAACATGGAATTTTTAAAAAAAAAATTTGGAAATTTTTTGTTTTTAGTTAAAAACCATAATTTCTTGATAATATACATACATAGGTAGTATGATTAAATTTACAAGAATTTCCTTCTTGTAAACCCAGAAAAGATCCAGTGGTTCTCAAAATTTTAGCAAAAAAATATTTTTTTTTGGAAATTTTTAAAGGAAAATAACTGGGATGTTTTGGACTTATTTGAAAAACGGTAAAGAGAAAATATTTTTTTTTATCGAGATCTACCAGCCCTGAAAATATTTGCACTATTTAAGACTCACCCTGTAATTAAATTTTATTCGTTCATGCTATTTTAAACACGGACAGTATATTATTAATTTTTATTGTTGTGCATTTGGGCTTGGAAATAAAGGTAAAAATTCAATTTCACCACCCAAAATACTTTCTAATAAAAGAAAAGAAATTTTAATGATATTTTCTCCAGTTTAGATGATCTTGTTCCAAAAAGAATTATAGTGTGGGAGGTTTAAAATTAAACAAAGATTTCTACAGGTTGTGTTTTTGCATAGTTTTTTTCTCTGACTAATTTAAAGAAAAATATTTTAGAAAATTTTTGTGTGGTTGCGAGTATAGACAGAGAGAGAGAGAGAGAGTGAGGTATTGGTTTGTAGAGCGCGTCAACAGCGAGGGTTTTTAACGCTCAATAATAAGCTTTAGTTAATATGAGGTTATTTTTTAAATTATTAGAAATTAAAGTTTTTTCGTTATGTTGGTGCTGTCTAAGAATTCCTAAGACATGTTTTTGGCAATTTAAAATATCAAAAACATCTACAAGATTTTTGTTTAAATTCTGTCATTATAGATTTTGTATAGTGATAATTTTCTTTCAGTGAAGGGTGTACAAGGGCTTATTGTGGCTTAATATAACTTAAGCCAAAGTAGATATTTAAAGATAAAAAAAGCGTAAAAAAAGTATTGTCAAAAGAGTCATAAAATAAAAAATTAGCATTGTTTAGCTTTTGGCTGTTAGATTTTTCTATGAGATTATAAGATTAGAACTTAAGCAGGAGGCTGAAGGATAAACGTACCTACGAGTGTAATCCATAATTGCATCTTAAATCGCATAATAATTTAAAAAGAACAACACCACCTCATTCACAACCACCGCGACTCGATGTTTGACCCAAATTTTGTTTTGTGAAGACGGCTTAAAGAAAGTGACTGTGTGGTGTGTATTAACTCCCTTCTTTCCTCAGATAGCTCCCACTTAAACATCATCAGCTCTTTTTACTTTCGTTCAAGACAAATTTCACTTATAACTCGCATATATAATTTTATTTTGCTCGTTAGTACAGAGGCAAATGTTACACACGAAAATTATTAGTTACAAACTGTTACAAATCATCAACGCATTATTGAAAAATGGCATTTTTCTTACTCAAGAGAATAAAAATAAGATTTTTTCTTTTAAGATTTATAAACTTTTATCTAATGATATACAGGGTTGTTCACCACATACGACACGGAGTATTGTAGCTAGATGATTAGATTTTTGCAAATTGTAAGTTTTGGGTTCGTTGAAGGACTATTAGAGCTGCAATTTAAAAATATTTATACAAGATACAGACTGTCCCAAATCAATAAAAAATATAAAAGTTGTATTTATTTAAATGGAACACCCTATATATTATTACATTTTTGGTTTCTACAATTAAAATAAAGGTAAATTTGATTAAGGTTTATCACACTTAAACCTTACCGTTTTTGAAATATTTTCAATTGTGTGAAATTGCAATAAAAATTTTAAGGCTTCATTTCTTCAAGGGTATCGAAGTTTTTAATACTAAATATTTACTGAAGTTTATTTATTGATCAATTATTGTGTTGCAATAATAAAAATAATACTATCTCATACAGAGTGTCTAAAAATTTATTTTAAATTATTACTAGCTTTAAACGGCAATAACGTGTTTAATTTAAATGGAACATCCTGTATATTTTAAGAGTATCAGATGCACAATTTAATTGGCTATCAAATTGTATTATACCATTTTATACTTATATCTTCAAGTTTTCGTAGAAAATGCATTTTCTTATAATTTTGACCTCATTTATCAATATACCCATGGAATATTGACATTTTAGATTATTTTTAAAGATGTAACAAATTTTTAAAGAGTACAGATACTAATATTGTTGATAAAGTTGGTTTATTTCATTAAAAAATAAAAAAAAACTGTTTAAATATTTGTTAAAGAGATCCAATTCATATTATTCCAGTATTCCAAATACATTAATTGACTGTTTGCTTTGATTAATAATAATTGCTCCAAATACTAAAAAACTGAATTTTGTATGTGTATTAGATTTTTGTTTTGGTATTTGTGGTAAAAGGTAACACCTTAAAAATATATTTATTTTATTTTTTGACGAATGCTTATTTAATTTATAACAACAGAAACATTCATTTTCATAACTTATGATTATATTGATTTCTAACACATTTATTTAAAATCATTTATTAACTATGTTAATAAATGATTCAATTAAGTATGTAATTAATTAGTATTTGGGCGGAAATACTGGTGGTATATTTAATTTATGGTATACTATTTTATAAAGATTTAAATAGTTCTATTTTTGTATACAAATGGGCTAGTAATATTATAGTTTTTAGCACCTGTACATTTTATATATTTTTGCTTTAAAAACAATCTAAAATGTCAATATTCCATGGATATATTGATAAATGAGGTGTAAATTTTAAGCAAATGCATTTTCTACAAAAACTTGAAGATATAGGTAAAAAATGGTATAATACAATTTGATAGACAATTAAATTGTGCATCTGATTCTCCTAAAATATACAGGGTGTTCTATTTAAATTAAACAAGTTATTGCCGTTTAAAGCTAGTAATTATTTAAAATAAATTTTTAGACACTCTGTATGAGGTAGTATTATTTTTATTATTGCATCACAACAACTGATCAATAAATAAACTTCAGTAAATATTAATATATTAAAAACTTTGGTACCCTTAGAGAAATGAAGCCTTAAATTTTTTACTGCAATTTCACAAAATTGAAAATATTTTAAAAACGGTAAGGTTTAAGTATGATAAACCTTAATCAAATTTACCTTTATTTTAATCGTAGAAACTAAAAATGTAATAATATACAGGGTGTTCCATTTAAAAAAATATAACTTTGATATTTTTTATTTATTTGGTACACTCTGTATCATGTAAAAATATTTTTAAATTGTACCTCTAATAGTCCTTCAACGAATCCAAAACTTACAATTTGTAAAAATCTAATTGTTTAGCTACAATACTCCGTGTCGTATGTGGTGAACAACCCTGTATAGGTATTTATTTATTTGTTTTTGTGTCAGTAATTCACAGCATAACTCTAAATTAAAAGATTATTTGATCGAGTCTGTATTTAAATCAAATTGTAACTCATCAATAAACAAATCAATGCATATTATTATTCTATCTTTTATACATAAAATAAAGTAATAAAAAATATATCTTAGGTTTTGATCTATTTAATCCTGAACATCATGGCATAAGATCTCGCACTATAACTTTCAGTTCATTTTGGGAAATATCGCAATAGCCAGTGGTGTAGCTAGAATCATCTGATCCTGAGGGCAAATCTATTAGTAAGTTAAGTCTTAAACTATTATATTTATTACGCAAATACAAAAAGTACCAAAAGTTTAGTAATAACATAATTTGAAGAACACCTTTACAATGAATGAATCATTTTTATTTACGAAAATATGCAACAAATATTCAAATTACTAATAAGAAAACATGACAGGAAAAAATTTAATTTTTTAACACGTTTCTAAAAACATTAAAAAAATATATAATATGTAGTTCATAAAATTCTGAACATACAGGAATTTGTATGAGGTTTTATATAAATTTAGAATATACACATTAAAAGATTAAATAAGAATATACAGGGTGTCCCAGAAATAAGTGCAAGTATTTAAACTGGTAGTACAGTTCGACCCTAGAAACAGGCCCGTGAGGTTTTTTGCGAAAAAAAATGTTCAACATTTTTTTTTCTGACATTTCTGGAAAATATTGAAAACCTTTTGAGTGCCGCTTGTTCAGTTTTCAAAAATTTGTTTATAACGTTTCGAGCGAATGTTGCCACCTTCTACGTTATCCACATTCTGTATGTCTATCGATCTGCTATCTATCGAAGTCCCGTTTGCTAATGTTAGGCAAGTTTTTACTTTTAATCTGAATTTTTCAAGTCGTTTTTAAATCTTTTTAGTCGATGTGTCAACACTGGGCGCCGAACAAGCTGAGATTTTGGTAATTGCTTGGTATGTTCGGCTGAATTCGATTGCTGCCGGCGGTTCTCAAAATGTTGCCATTATTTTTTTTAATTTTCAACTCAATAAAAATTCGATTATTATCAATTTATTATAAAAATGGTAATAGAGAAAATATGTTTCTCTTTTGGTCAGATCTACCGCCCCTTACAATACTTGCACTTATTTCTGTGAGACCCTGTATATTCATAATAATAGGGAGAAAAGTGTATCTGTACTGTAGTGGGTGCAATACCTACTAGATTACAATATTGGTTGTACCTTTTGTTAATTTACTTTAAAAAAAGTAGCGCGTACCGGAGTACAGGCATGTTTATAATCATTACGTTTCCCTCATGTTTCAGGCTCTTGTGATATTTGATACAGCAATATTCCTGGAACAATACTACCGCCTTATTGTTAACTATATTTTTTATACGGTTAAATTTAGCAGTACCAGACATAACTTAGCACCGAGCTGCGGATTTTAAGCATTTGTTATGTCTGGAAACTCCATGGAACCCTTATTATTAAACAAGACACGTAATATTAAATCTCGGCTGGCATTGCGCGACTTGTTGGTAAATAAATGGCGATTGACTTCGGATTTTGCGTACGATTCTTGTAGGTGGAAAGACCAACTATCTAGCTCTCTTTCGCTATATGCATAAAACAGAATGGATATATATATAGTATACTATTTATTTACGTTCAAACTATTAAAACTAAATTAAACTCCTTAGTTCAATGTTTCTATTGATATATTTAGCTGTTATTAACAGTTACATGTAGAAAATTTAATAATAGGTCATGGTAGACGAGTAGTGTGTAATATTTGGTTTGAAATGTATACTTTTACTCAAAATTATAGATATAACCCAGTAGATTTAAGATTAGATTTTAAAAAAATATATTTAAAACACGATTGGGTGTTGATTGTGCATATATTGCAATATGGCATGATTTTCCGTTGACTAATAGGAACAGGTACACAGAAGTAAATGGCAATATTTTGAAAACGGTAATAGTTGTCTTGTGTAATATCCGCACGTTTTACAACTAAATAAGATATTTAGTTATAATGCAGAATTAATTTTACGTGCATAGTAATCTTAAATGGTGATTATTTTCATTCAGTACTGAATTTATAATATTTTATACGTTAAGAACGATAGCTTAGACAACATTTTACAACGAATAATAAACCTTAACCTTAACACCCGAATAACAACTGATTATCGAAGTATAAATAATAAATCTCTGGCTATTTCTTTAAATATAAATTATCATTCTTTGGTGTGATGGGTGCTTCGAACATTTGACCGATAAATCATTGGGGGTTAAATAATTCACATTGATATTGCAGTACTTCTTCGGTGATAGTTAAAATTTGATCTGCTGCAGTAAGTACACTGTTATTCTTACTTGAATATATTAATAATTAAATATTTTTAAAAAATTATTACTTAGAGTTATATAAACAAATTCAAATGGTGTCGAGGTTCAATGTCCAAAAAAATCGTAGATTCTATTCGAATAAGATTCCAAAAAAAATTGTTAAATACCAACAATGTACGTCTATACCATTATTTTTGTCTAAATGATACTAAACACGACAACAGCAATTTTATATAACTCATAACATTGACTATTAGATAGACCACTTTAATTTAACCTATTGTTTAACAACCCTCTAATTTCAATGAGAATTAAATTAAGCGTTCATTATACGTGGTAAAAAAACACCATTATAATATGTAGACCTGTAATTTATTATTTTTTTTATGACACTTTGCGCATTACTTTTTATAGCTAAGTAACAATACATCTGCATACAATTATTCATTTAATCAGTTAAAAAATATTGGCACATTTATGTGTTTTTTTTCTGACTATAAATTATTCTTTTTCAAACTTATATTTATTGAATAAGGGCACGGAATGATATATGAGTAACGGTATAAACCGTATTTAAGACATCATTTTAGAATGAAGAATTCGACATACTTTTTATTTTACTTGCTAAAATGGATGGTGCTGTTGAAATTTCAACGTAGACAATTGCGCGAATGTTTGAATAATATTTCTTTGTTATTTGTTTGAAGAAAAATTTCAGAATGGACTAGTTTTTTTGTTGTTGAGAATGAATTACTGTTTTAAACATTCATTACTTCACTGTATTACAGTTCAAAAAATTATACAAATTTTCTTTCATTGTTTTTATAAATAACTCAGAAAAGACCAAAAATCGATATGTATTTAAAACTAAACTAAATTTATTCTAATAAAATAGATTCTGAAATAAAATACGGAAATTGTGCCCCCTGTATAAATGTATATTTAAAAATGATAATTTATCTAAAATTAATTAATTAGTCAGCTAATTAATATAATAATTTTAATTTTAATATATTTTATAGGGAAAAACACACAAGGGAGAAGATGTCTGAGGAAGATTATATCAGTAAGTATATAAATAAAAAAAAAAATTATATAGTGTGATCGAAAAAAAAAATTGTCGCTTGAAATAAAAACCATACTGATATTTGAATAGATAAAAAATATTTAAAAAATATTATTAACAGATAATTTGACTGGTACAGAATAGTTCAAAATCTAATTTTAGTGTGGCAGATAATCATTATAAACATTACAAATGTAAGAAATCAAAGAAGTCCATAATATTGGAGAACATGGGTGAGGTTTAGCAGACGACGCATCTGTGAATTTGAAATACTTAAATACGGTCCTGCGTTTGGTCTTAAACACGCCACTTGTATCGTCCTTTTTCCCATAATCCCTACATGAACGAACTTTTGGCGAAAATATCACATTAAACCGCTTTGCCACAGGCTTTGCTATATGTTCCCCCACTAGAGAAATTGTTTAAACATTTCAATACAACGGCAGTCGATTCAAAGTGACTAAGGTGAAGCCACGCATCACACAGACAACGTTATTTTAAGAATAGTTTTGAATGAAAACTTTCGAAACAGTTCGAAAAAGATACATAAAACGAAGTTTGAGCAAACTTCAGTTACTTTTCTTTATTATTTGTTAAACGGGATTAGTTTTCTGAGCAGTGCTCTAGGAAAAATGCCACAGCAGAGTGTTTTTGTAGGTTAATTTCGTATAACTGTTAAAAGGCTGAAACAAATCGGTTTTGTGTAAGGAACTCCTCACTTAAAATGGGTACGTAAGAATACTTTGTTTTTTTTTATTTCACAACTAAAACCATTAATTACGTTAAGTAGAGATTTCATTTTTAACACACTTTCTTAAGTAAGGTTAAAGCATCCATTTTTAAAATAAACCAGTACCTACTGCAGCTGCTAGTATTTTCGGCTCCCCAAAGCACACTATTCTGTTTTAAATCAGTACATTTTTATGAAACACATTTATATTTTATCTTTATTATCATTAGGTGTATTTAAACAACTTTTATCTAAGTTAAAGGTTTGCGCTTGTTTTAAATTTAAGTTATGGATGATTCAGATATACGTGAAACGTATACTATTAGGACTGGTGTACTCAAAACCTATAATCCCATTATACTTGCTTTACAAGCATTTATAACTGAACGAGATCATATATATGGATTCATAAAGCTTTTATATGAACTCAATTTTATGTGTTAAATTTGGAGTGGTTTATTTTGATAAAACTACTAGATAAAATTAATGGAATCTCTACATATTGCTTAAGTCTTTCAGTTTTACCACAGCAACTATTTATAACTTTTTTATTTCGCAGCGCATTAGTTTAAATAATAAAATTAAAATTCGGTTCATTATTTTGGATACATTTTTAATATTCTATTATACCCCGGAATTTAAATTGGCTCATTATTGTCCATCAAATAAAATTATGGAATAACATATAACTAAATAACAAACAATTCGTATTATAATTCATTAGATTTAATTATATATTTCATGAGCATCAAATTAAATTAATAATTAACCAACTAATTAATGGTGTCAGTTTTAAAACAAATCAATTCGTTATAAAAAGCTAGTCCCATTAAATATTTCGTCAAATTAAGGAAACTATTACAAAGAAAAAAATATAATTGAACTTTACACTAATGAAAGTTATTTAATGTTTTTTTACTTAAAATTTGTTCTAAAATGATACAATTTTCCTAATAATTTGTCAAGGTATTTATTTAATTTATTAAAAAACAAATGTATTTGACAATTAATTATAAATAATGAAAATTGCTGTTAAATTATCTCTTTAACATTACACGTTTGATTTAAGTACTATAATTAATTTATTGCTAATATCGTTTATAATTTTTTTAACCAACCTAATTCCTAAGAGCAAATATAATACCTATATATACCATAATGGGATTCTAATGACGCAAATTTAATATTAATCAGATAAATTGATATTCCCTGATAATATACGAAAATGTATCATTCTAGAAAACCTTCGAAGTTTAATATCAAATACAAAAAGGTAGATTCTGGACAAACTGTATAGAGCATATTCCATAAAATTTGTTCAGGTTATGCTAAAAAATATGTAAAAAACTGACAAGTGTTTGTAACCCTTCTCAATCCTCATGTATATTGTTTGGAAGATATGCTTAAATTTGCATAAATAAATTTTATTTAAATAATCAGGATTTCACAAAATTTGAAACCGGTATTCGGTAAAAAACGACTTTAAAGACAAGCGTAATACTGTATTACGTCATTTCTCTACACTAATTTGATTAAGAAAAAAAACTCATTATTGTTTTTAGTACATTTGCACAATTAGAGGTATTATAGGTTACTCATTATAAGACTAATTGTCGTTAAAGTGAATATGTATTGTATAAGTGCTCCACACATATTTTGGATCGATGTTTTACATCGGGTTTAAGCGAGAAATAATTAATTCATTAACGCAGCTGTAATTAGCTGCAGCTCTTCCTAGTATTCCTAAGTAACTGAAGCTTTTACACCTGTTAGTAGTAATAGTAAATTTATTTAGTTTCTGAGGACTTTGACCCATCGAACCACACTTCATCCTACCGTGACGCAAAATCGGATGTTTAGGACTCTTGCCAAATTACTTAGTAAAAACAATCAATAAAAGAAAAGATAGTATAGAGTACTGAACTTTATGTAATATTTATAAAACTACTATCATTCAGATCTACAAATTTATAAAACAAATTATTTTTTAATTAAGTTTCACTAAATTCTACAAACTTTCCTAAAATATTTTCCAGAGTTTGCTTTCCGTATATTGTAAAGTATGTCTATGAATACAGAGGAATATTCCCAAGCTTAAATAAACCCACCAATCAAGGTTAAACAACTAATTTCTATACATATAGAAAAATAGTTTAAACATTTTTAAATAACCTTAAATGGACATTATGCATCTTAAATAATAATAATACTAATCGTAACTCTGTATCAAATAGTTCTGAAAAATAAAATTATTTTTTTTAAAAGGTCCGATTAAATTTATATCTCCGAAACTAAAGTTTCAAAAAAAGTCGTAATATATCTACAAATTTATTTACCCACTAGGAGATATAAAAAACATTTTTGGTCAACTCTGTCTCAAATAGTTTTTGAAAAATAAAATTAATTTTTTTAAAAGGTCCGATTAAATTTATATCTCCGAAACTAAAGTTCCAAGAAAAGTCGTAATATATCTACAAATTCATTTACCCACTAGTAGATATAAAAAACATTTTTAATCAACTCTGTCTCAAATAGTTTCTGAAAAATAAAATTAATTTTTTTAAATGTCCGTAAATTTATATCTCCGAAACTAAAGTTCCAAAAAAAGTCGTAATATATCTACAAATTCATTTACCCACTAGAAGGTATAAAAAGCATTTTTGGTAAACTCTGTCTCAAATAGTTTTTGAAAAATAAAATTAATTTTTTTAAAAGGTCCGATTAAATTTATATCTCCGAAACTAAAGTTCCAAGAAAAGTCGTAATATATCTACAAATTCATTTACCCACTAGTAGATATAAAAAGCATTTTTGGTAAACTCTGTCTCAAATAGTTTCTGAAAAATAAAATTATTTTTTTTTAATAAAGAGTTACAATGCAGTACAGAGTTAACAATACACCCAAAACTCGGAGATAAAAATGTTTTTTTAGAATTTTAAATTTTATCGTCAGGCTCCATATCAGAAATTTGTTTACAAAATACCCAAAAAAAATCTTTCTAAAGGTAATGCCGTATTTAGGTCATATTTTTCGATGAGATAACATTGTGTGAATGTGTGAAAATATACACATGCATTAAAATTTCTTTCGAAAGTTTGGAGTTTTTTCTTTTAATAAAATAACCATTATCCCTGGGTGACCCAGGTAACAGGGACCTGTGGGGGCGTCACTCCCCAAAGCAGCATGACTAAAAAAGTCATACTACCTCCTGCAGGGAGCTTATAAACCTACCAATGTAAACTGCTAAAATTAGGTACTTTTTGACAACCCCCCTTAGAAGGTAGCCTTTCCAACTTTGCGGCTACTTAGGACACCGTTGAAAAGCTTGATGCCTTTTCTTTATAGTTTGGTTTTTATAGTTTTTAAATCGTACCATTAATTTTTGAGATATCTGTGTTTAAAGGTAGGCAACATTTTTGAAAACTAGCAATTTTGACTTTCTTTGAGATAAAAATGTTTGGCTTAAATCCCTGATAAGTATTTGAGACCTTTGTGACAGTATATTTTGTCTAAGGGATATAGCTTTTTTTTTTATATAGGCGTTCTTTGCCTTACAATAGATTCACATGGTGCCCATGGTGGCTTACTATATTTTCGAATTAAATTTAACCATTTTAGGAACTAGAGAACCAAAATAAAACTAATTATTTCTTTACAGGACCAAATCAGATAAAGCCTGCTGATAATTTAGTAACGACTGATCCTTCAGGATGTGTGAGATTAAGGATTCCAGAGAGTGGGAAGGCTATTGAGACTCTCCCTCCTATTTCTGTTCCTGGCTACATGAAGAGGGCTGCTGAGCGATATGCAGACAAAATAGCCCTGGGCTGGAAGGAAGGCAGCACGTGGAAAACCTTTACTTACAGGTAATTAAAATGATTAATCTAATTAGTATTTATTTCTATATCATTTTGCGCACTTGCTTAAGCAAATATAATAATCAGGGAAAAATCTAGTTCTATCAATGCATATATTAACGCGAAATTATTAGTTTTCCTTCACATTTTACGCTACAAATAATATTTATATGATCTTCGCCTGACCTTCATTGGAAAAGGTACTTTTAAGATGAGGCGCAAGATAGGGAACCTGTATATAATTTAAAAAAAAAGACGGTACAACTTCTCGGTATACTATGTCACGGTATCTTACACAGATATAAGGCATAATAGGATCATAAAGTTGTAAAGGAATAAAATAAAAAGGGTAGTATACCAGCTTCTAACAGAATACTATAATAAAACTGAGCAATAACAAAAGTCCAGTGATTTATAACTGAATATAAGCTTTAGGTACAAACCTAGGTGGTCTTCACACTGTAATCATTCATTTTGCATGGTATACTTTGTATCTGTATATACAGGGTTGTCCGAATTGTATTCGGGAAACTTATTTGAAAAAAAATCGAAATAAAAATGAAACACCCTGTATCTCCAAAACGAATCATTTTAGGATATATTTTTTTTACTTGTTTTTACCTGAAGAAAATGCTGCCGAAGTTTCCCGAATACAATTCGGACCACCCTGTATACGGGGTGGTTACAAATTATATTTCGTCAATATATTTTTTCGTTTTATTTTAGGGAATATTTAAAACAAATCCGAACCACAGCAAAAGCTTTTATTCATTTAGGCTTGGAAGAGAAGCATTCCGTTTGTATACTTGGTTTTAATAGCGTAGAATGGTTTCTTTCGGACTTAGGTGCTATCTTTGCAGGGTAAGTCTCAATGCATAAATATGCCCCTATTGTATTATTGTATTAACGATATTAACCTTTATAAAGGATTTTTTATTTGACGCAAGTTATATTAGCATTAATTTTAATAAATAAATAAGAATAAAAAGTGTTTGTATGCCTTGTATTATTAAAATTGAGTAAAATAATTCGATGAATTTAAAGTAATTTAATTGATAAAAAAGACGATAAAACAATTCGATCGATGAAAATTTTTTTGCTCAGTGAATATTTGGTGCAATTAATCTTTTAGAGGTATAGCAGTAGGAATATACACTACAAATTCACCCGAAGCTTGTAAATATTGTGCAGAAGTTAGCAAGGCGAACATAATTGTAGTGGAAGACGAACAACAATTGGAGAAAATCTTAAGTATTCGCTCAACTTTACCCCAACTCAAAGCTATTGTACAATATAGTGGCGAACCAAAACAAAGTGATGTGCTAAGTGTGAGTAAAAATTCAATATTAACCATCCATATTTTATAATATATATTCACCATTATATTTAGCATCGTTAATGACACTTGACCGTCAAAACGTCAACTAATTGCAAATCTACTTGGAGTAACCTTGTTTTAAATTCCTTTATTGTATTCAGAAACCTAAAAACAGTACAAAAATGATAATTTCAAATTACATAATCTTTACTTATTCCATTGCAAGTTCAAGCTGGTGTTTCGATTGACCTTATTTAAGGCACGAACCTTATTCCATATAGTCGGTATGCTCTAGTGCACGTTGTGACGTCATGTGGATGCCACTAACAGCAGATAAATTAAACTGCGGTAAAAGTCGTCTGTTTATACATATATCAGTTTCCTTTGTATTGGTTTTGATATATATCTATAAGTGAATTCTATCAAATATAAAATATGTTTGCCAGATGATGTAATTCTGTTCTGTATGTAGCATATTTGTTGAATGTGTATCTTTCTTTATTTACGAATAAGACTGACTAGAATTTAGAAAAAATATCATCATAGATTAAATATTTATTTGGTATTTTCTAGTGGAAACAATTGTTGGAGATCGGGGAAAGCCTCCCGGAAGAATTAGTTGATGAAAGACTGAAACGAATAGGAATCAACGAATGTTGTACGCTTGTTTTTACTGTAAGTAACGAAAAAGACTGCTTAAAAAAGATCATTCTTAACTGGAGTTAATTTATTTTAGTCAGGAACTGTAGGAAACCCAAAGGCAGTCATGCTAAGTCACGACAACCTGACTTACGACGCCACTGTCATTTTCGAAAGACTTAGGCTATCTGTTGGGGATGAAGTTCTGGTCAGCTACCTTCCCTTAAGTCACGTGGCAGCTCAAACTGTAGATATTTACTTGTCCATGTGCGCAGGCGCGGCAGTGTACTTCGGTGATAAAAACGCTTTAAAGGGATCCTTAATAAATACCCTGCAAGAAATACGTCCAACCAAATTCTTGGGAGTTCCTAGAGTTTATGAGAAGATTTATGAGAAAATGCAACAGGTAGCTGCTCAGAATGGATTCATTAAAAAAGCGATTGCTTCGTGGGCTAAAGAGTATACGCTTCAACATCATCTAGACTTAATAAACGGAATTGAAACAAAATCATGGGCTTACGCTTTGGCTAGTTCGATCATATTTAAAAAAATCAAAGAAGCGCTCGGACTACAAAGGTGCAATTTCTTCTGCTCAGCTGCAGCTCCCTTGTCTTCAGACATCAAAAAATACTTCATGAGCATAGACATACCCATAATGGAATGCTTCGGAATGTCCGAAGCTAGCGGAGGTCACACTCTCGCAATAGAATCAGCGAATAACTTAAATAGCATAGGTAAACAAGGAAGAACAATTATGGTTGTTTTCTCTAAACATGTTAGGTCATTTTAGGAACGACAATACCCGGTCTAAGAACTAAGATATTCAATCCCGAGCCTGACGGTCAAGGTGAAATATGCATGTATGGGAGACATATTTGCATGGGTTATATAGGCGAACTTGAAAAAACCCGCGAGGCTATTGACGATGAAGGGTGGCTTCATACCGGTGATTTAGGAAGAATTGATGAAAAAGGTTTTGTATATATTACAGGGAGATTAAAGGAACTGCTTATAACAGCCGGAGGAGAGAATATCCCACCAGTAAGTCATTTCTAACATCAAGGTTCATTTCGAACAATAAACATGTAATATTTCAGGTCCCTATAGAACAACAGGTGAAGCAAGAACTTCCACATATTAGCAACGCATTTTTAATAGGTGATAAACGAAAATTCCTTTCCGTTCTGTTAACTCTCAAGTCAGAAGTTGATCCCGAAACTGGTGCTCCTTTGGACCAACTTCTTTCAAGTACACAGAACTGGCTGAAATCTTTAGGCTGTCCCGCGACCACTGTGACTGAGGTTTTGATAGCCGGCCCTGATCCCAAACTAATGGCTTCCATTCAGGATGCCATAAAACGGGTTAATGAAAAGGCCACATCGCGCGCTCAGAAAATTCAAAAGGTTTCTATTTTGCCAGCGGATTTCTCTGTTGTTACTGGCGAATTAGGTAGGCAACCACTTATACAAATTCTTTAACTTAAGTTGGGTTTCTAATTAATGTTTTTTTTTTCGTTCTAGGTCCAACAATGAAAGTGAAAAGAAAAATAGTCGATCAAAAATATGCTGATATAATTGAATCAATGTATATCTAATTTATGTCATGAAATTTGTTATGTTATATTTTATACGTAAAAAAGAAATAAAGAAACAGGGTTTATAATAAAACAAAGTTTATTTTGTGAAAATATTTTTCGCTTACAAGTAAAAAATATAAATAATACCATCGAAACTTAAATCTATGTAGTAACTATCTTACATAGTTAAAAAAATAAATAAATGTGTGGTATACATATATGCAATATAAACATTTATACATTCAGTTTGAGTTATTGTTTATTACTTCTATCTCTACAGATACCCTTTTGAAAAAAGAAATGAATCATTTTAAGTCTACCATGTAGAAAAATAGGTTCTATTTCGAATTCACATTTTTTTAAAATACATTTTAGAGATGTTAAATATAAACATCTATTTTTAAAGTTCTAAAAAAAGTATCAAAACCCTCTCAACTCTCAACTACTCTCTAGAATAATTTGTTATCTCATATTAAGAACATAAAAGGATTTCTATAAAGAGCTTTTTACGGGCCTAAAGTAATTTTTGCCAAATATAAAAGTTTAATATATACAAAAAATATTAAAAAAGTTACATACTATTTGCCGCATTTCTTTATCTAAGGTTTTAAAGCTATAATAATAGGCCATTTTTGTGCAACAAAAGTATCAGTAGGTCAGTTCATTAATATATATTCGATTCTATTTAAACTAAATATAATTAATCTATTCTAATTTCATGCTAGCTGAAGTTGGTAATTTTGTGGTCTGTTCCAGTTTCAACATAAAAATAATTAGTCATCTTTTCTAATTTTTGAAATGCCAAAAAAATAAAATATTTATTTAGGACCACTAGAACAATGAACCAGCCTTAAGGATACAGATAATACTTAAACATTTGATAATTTCGTTTTTGTACATTGTTTAAAATTTAAGAAATATAATACTTTCTTTTCACATATATACAAAAATTTCTTAAAAATACATTAAGGTCTTGTTGAATATAGAAGCTTAAAATGGTTTTGAAAAGATATCTATAGAAAGGAAAAAATGCTAGCTTGACTGACAAGGTTCTGTCTCTGGCGTGCTATCACTGTCCGAATCTTTATTGCAACACTTGCATTGCTGCTGAGCTGGCGGCGCCGTTTTTTGTTTAGTTCTGTTGCATTTGGAACTTCGACTCCTATGACACTTACTACTGCACTTATTCCGATAGATTGGAGTAACTAGTTCCACTTTTATATTAGCTGTAGCTGTCACTTTCGTTGTGTAAGGTCCGCTTGAAGTCGATTCCGGACTACTGTACTCTACAGTCACTTGAGGCTCAACAACGATGCTCTGATTGCAGCTTTCCTCCGTGATGGTCGTCAGGCTTGTTTCTCTTGTGGCTTTATTGGGAGGGTTCCTACGCGAAGGTTTGGAGAAAACTTTAGGTTTTTCTGGGAGAAAAGTTCTAACTGGAGGAGGAGTAGGAGGTGATGGGGTTGAAATCCTGTCATCGTGATCGACAGGCACGATTTCTGACTTAGGGCCAACCATAGCTAGCATTAAAGGGAAGAAAGTGAGGGAGTTTATAAAGGAAGTTGCGATGGATATGATTAAGAACATGAACAAGTGATCCCGGATGAATTCGAAATCTGACATTATAAGCACTAATACCGATACCAGAAGTCCTAGGTCTCCTTTCACTATCGAGTCAGCGTTGATTTCCAACGACATCTTGACCCTTTTCTCTCTGCTGCCTAATGCACTAAAGAATCCAGTTGTTATCAGAAACACGTTTCTTCCTACAATAATAAAATGAAGAGCTCCCATGGTACTGCTGAAAGCGTTTATGTCGACCAATAACAAAGGCAGCATTGCTATTAGGGTACTAAATAAGGAACACCATAGTTTGGACCATCTTACTAGCAGACAGGACACTAGTCCGGCTGCAGCTAACGTAAGCACTATTTGGGCTACTAATAACCTATCTAATAATAGGAACTGATTAAAATAAGCGAATATAAGTCCTACAGGGTAATTTTTGAGTCCCCTGCTATTAAATTCCTCCGAAATATCTTTGATGTGCCTTAAAGTGGCGATGATGTCGCCTGTGCTCTTAAGGTTTTTGAGGTAGAACGGCATTTGTGCGTAAGTTAAAGGCTGCGACCGTCGTATTTTCAGATCGGGCTCTGCCTTCGAACTATAATACTCAAAAGGTTTCGGAGTCAGATCGGCCTGACTGCTCGAATAAGAGATTTGATCGTTGCTATTCCAAGCAGATAAATAATTGTAAAATGCTTTGGGGTCAATAATACCATCGTGGACCAGTCTTTTCTTTAATATCTGGCTTTTATCTACAGGAAATTCAATAATACCAGTTTGCGCCATGAGCTTGAACGCTAATACTGCCTTTTCCGTTGCGTTGGGAAACCATTTCTCGCTGTTCAAACAATGGGTGCTTCTGCTGTGATCGAATTCTTCCTGGAGATCGATCAAGTAATCTCGGAAGTTGGCTAGCCAGAAGTTGTTCATATTCAGCCCTCCGTTTGAGTCTTTGAGTACGTGAGGTACATGAGATAGCGACGAGTGATACTCATAAAGCAACGGTTGGTTGACTGGATACTCCAGTTCCGTCGTAACCAAGTAGAAGTTATAGAATCCGAAATATTTATTTTGCGCTTCAAGATATTTGTACTCCTGCGTGTTTCTCGGCAAAAATGTCGATAACCTAACGTCAAACTTCAAATGGAGCCCATTGAATACGAAGAATATCACCAATATGGCGTAAGTTAAACACAGTACCACTTTTACAAATGGTTGTAGCAACACTGACTTCAGATATCGCATTGCAAAGTAAGACACGAAGCTCCTTTTCTGCTGACATATCACTTCAGCTGTCAATAAATTCGCTCCATGCTCCTGAAACAAAAAACAAATATTTTAGATTGGCTTTGACTTCTAAAGGTTCGTTATTTGTTAATCTATCCCTTTTTTCAAGATCGAATCATTTAGTAAATAAGAAATTTGTAGAGTTATTAAGCCTAGAGTTACTTTGTAATAAAATACAATGACAAGATAAGTAGGTAATTAAACATCAATTAAAATTTGACTTTTTTCTAAAAAAATCAATGTTTAAATTAAATTATTGTGCCTGACTATTTTTAAAGAAAATAAACGATTTTTATTTAATACACGATTTTTAAATTAGGTTTAAAAAATAAAAGGATAAAGAAACCTTTAATATTCATGCAATATACGAACAATAAAGTGAATTACAAATTCAGAAACCAAAATATCCGTGCATGTGGCAACTGTGCGACTGGGGCCGTCTAGTCACAAACTTAAAATCGAATTTTTGACCTATGCGCATTGTACACTGGCTGAAAAAAAGGCCGACAAAGCCAAGCACTTCCTTAGGAATGCCCCATAGCCTCATAGTGAACACCTCATTCACCTCTACACATAGCTCTAACGTAGCTGTCGTTATTTTTTTAATTTACAGTTCAAACAAGAATTAAAAATGTCAGTGGAGAAAAATAAATAATTTTTTATTTTACATTGTTTTTAATTTAAAGAATATTGTATTAAATGTTTTTTTAGATATGTAATATATTGGAAAGTTTATGTGTTACATGAAATGTTACATTTTTTACTGAAACAACTGCGGAGACTGATTATTACAGGCCGATTCATGTCATTATGCACAATTATCAGAGATATTAATCACTGTGTTTGTGGTTAATTGACGTTATCTTAGCGGAATCATAATATTTTATCGATAAATTTCGAATTGCTCTCCAGCTTCAGAACGTAACAAACAATTAAACTGCACATATCTTAAAAACTGACTCATTATAAACATTAATGGCTGGCAATGAATCAAAACGCATATAGGGCTGGCGCATTTCAAACCAAACCGTTCATTTGCATATACCGACGTTATATTTTATAAAAGCAAAACAAACAAATCATGTTAATTTCAATACTCGATGTTTATGCATTCTACAGTCATTTGCTTTTGGTATGTATTAACCCTTGCTACCTAAAGAACGATAATTAGTTTATTATTTTTTTGAAAGAACATATTTATTAGAGTGATAAGATCTCTACAACAGCATTTATGTAACTCGTTATTTTTTAAATGGTTCAATTACCCCCCATTACAACTTCACGTATCCATCAAGTTTAGAACAGTTCAAATAGTTTAATTACATAGCAATACTCTAGGTCTAACAGAAAAAATCCTACAGTGCTGTGTATTTCATTATGATAATTACTATCAATGAGTGAAGATGTTTTTATTTTAGCTTGAACACATACATAAAATCCATTTAGCATCTAGTATAACGTGTTACATCTAAATTCTTAAAAATAAGAGTAAAAGTCTACGTGAACGTCTACCAAGAATATTGTATATTTTAAAGAATTTCGCGACTTTTTTACAATTAATTAATCGTAAAAATAATATACACTTACCGGGTTGTTATTATTGTGTTGCGTTGCCGTTTTGCCTTTGTTTCCGCTCCTGAAACATGGCACGTCACTTTTCCTACACCTCTGTTCCAGAGCCAGTAGACAAGGAAACACTATGAGCAGCGCTGCGCCGTGGAAGATCACCATGACTGCGCATTGCAAAGCAAACACTCTCAGGGCGGGCACTGGTAGTATTGCTGCGGTCAAGAATGACGCCGAGTTTATCAATATGGCCGCCACTATATTCGGTCCAGTTCGTAAAAGAATATCGGAGGGAGCCAAGTTTTTCGTATGCGCGTTTAGAAGAAGGAACATCTCGCGCATCGCGAGACCGACGGTTATAAATGGCAACACGTGGGTACTAAGGAGGTTCATTGGAAGTCCTATCAAGCTACACACTCCTAAAGCAGCAGCTGCGGTGCTGGCTAATACTAGAGTTCCTATGGCAGCTAGAGGAGATTGTACTATCCACCCGTATATCGCGACGACAGCTATCACTAAACCGATTTTAATAGTATCTGTTTTCGAGTATTCTTCGAGTATCTTATTTACATTTGCCGTAGAGAACGTGATGAACAGGTATGACGAAGATGAGCTTTTCTTTGAGTCAGATAATCTTTTCACTTCCTGAAAGAACAAGAAAAACACTGAATTAATAGTCTGTCAGGTGTATGAGTAGATATATCTTACCTGAGCAAATTTCTTTTGCCAAGTGTTTAAAACCAACGAAGCTTTTTCTTGGTTCCATCCAATATGATGAACTTTGTAATGCCCTGACCAAAATTCAAAGAGCTCTCTTTCGCCCATGAGTTGCACGACGGTCTGCAGTGCTTTGGCCTGCTTAATATGGCCGGTTTTGTTCTTTTTAGTTCCACCAATAATAAGATCTTCAGGCCAATGCATGTATTTGGCAGCAAAACCATAACATCCGCCTGTGAGCTCTGCTCCAATATCCAGACGAGAGGTTGAATTGTAATTAGGGGAAGTTTTAGGGCAGTCTGGATCTCGAGGGTTTAGACAAGGCTTCTGCTGGTAACCAGTGGTAATGCCAGCTCGTTTTAAATAGTCCTCCAAGAAAGGGTAATCGAAATTCGATTCTTTTGTTTTTAATCGTTTGATGATTTGCTCTGGGTCTAAGTTCGTCCATTTGATTTGGTCTCCCATACCATATCTGTATCAAAAAAATTACGTTAAATTTTCTTCTAAAAAATGTAAATAATAATGACTTACGGTATGTATACTGGAAACTCAGGTCCAAGAAGTTTAGATCCTTCCCAGAAGCAATCCAGCGGTGTTGCGATCGAACATGGCATCATGTTTTCGAAAATTTGCTCGATGTATTGCGCGTCGATATTGGGAATGCTCGGTAACTGACAGAAATCTTTTAGTCTCCAAGATATATCGAACATGTTAATGCTAACTTCCGTCGCTTTCTTAACCAAAAGCAGGTGTTCCAATAAACCGTGGGGTTGGAGAAGATCGATGTCAGGGTCCACACCGGTTTGGACAACCATTTGGTGGGTGGAGAGTAGCTCTTTGGGGGATGATTCGGGAGAAGTAGACGGTTCTGCCCATAATAGTTCGATGTCCGTGTGAAAGGTCATGCTCTTGAGACCAACGGAAAAGGTCGCTATAGCCAGGATACTGACGAAGAGAAACTTGCCCGCATGCACCTCAAGAACAGTGCCTAAAGACTTCAACTGTCGTTGAATTCTGCTGCGGATCCATAATATTCCTCGATCTCCATTGGCCTTATCCTGAAATAAACAATTTAAATTGCATCTTATAATTCTAATTAAGGTATAGTCTTATTTTCACTTAGTGTTCTTCCCAATCATACAGATCAACATAAATAATAATTATATTTGTTATTCGGTAACAATTTAACTATTTTTCTAATGCTTTCTGAGTAAAGAACTTAACTTAGCAAAGGAAACCTGCTAAAATGATTATTGAAACGTGTCTAGAGTTTTAAAATAAAGTGCTTCGGTTTCCAGTTATAGATTTGTATGATTTTCTATATTACATACTTATATCTGATAGATAATAATGACATAACTCAAGAGCTAAAACATTCTTAATTTTCATATTCTTAATAAACATGATAATATCTGTGATAATATACTATGAGATCCTAATAGATCAATAAAACGTTTCCAAACGATTCTGAAATTCGAAATTTTCGTTTAATTCTTATATCTGAGAGATAATAATGACACAACCCAAGAGTGACATGTCAGGGTGAGACATTTTTTGAGAAATTCTACAAAATTTGATCCGAATCGTTCTGTCGACGACTCTATCTACCCCTCTCGATTCTCGGTATTATTGAATACCGACTAAAAACAGGGGGGTCCCAAAATCGAGACACAAAAGGTAACCGAGAACGAAGGCTTTCTTTCTAGAATCCCTCCCGTAGATTTACCGCAACGCAGCTGCTCTGCATTAGCGTTGCCATATCGTCTCGTTTTTCCAAGTTCTTTTTTTCCACCACTATTCATAAAATATGACAAATCAATTATCTATCGAAGTCTGGATACAAAAACACCTCAAGTAAAAAAGTAACTTAACAGAAAATTAAAAAAGATAGAATAAAAAAGGCAAAACCAATCGACCAATATTACTTAATTAATCATAATACAATGAAGAAAATAGCAAGAATAATAATTAAGAAAGACAATAAAAAATAAACGGTTTACTTTTCATTGTACCTGACAATTCGTAAATACCACCCAACTTGACTGACCATTACTCATCTGATAAGCAATAGTTGACCGACTTTATTAGTACTTATTTTTTGGATTGTGTACTTTATTTTTTATTGACCTCTATTACACATGATATACACTCCTTATAATAAAAGTAATTGTATATACGTGCATGATTTAAATTTGTCTAAAAGTATGTAAATAAAGAAAGAGCCTAAGTGAGCCTGTCAACGAAAATATTCTATCAATTCGTAAAGAGATATTAGCATGTCGTACGAATTTGTTTTATTGGAGTTGCACCTAGAATAATTTAAATACCCAGAGCAGAAGATCTGGCAACGGGGCGCGGTACTGTAGACCGTAGCATGGGGACCACCCAAGTCGTACTCTGACGTCACGGGGACCACCGGAGTGAGAGCCCAGCCTGCGGATGTGTCGGCACGCGGTGTTGCCGTATTGCCGTCAAAATCTCCACTTCCCACGAATAAGCCTTTTAAACGATCGTTCAGAATCGAAAATAATTTCATATAAAATCAAAATAACGCCAATTCGAAAATGGAGAATGCTGATTTTTAAGAGGGAGAGAAATTCTTTTAAAGGTCTGTAATAATCTCGTTTGCGATTTTTCATGCTGAGATTGTCGGCCCAATGCACTTCCTACGCTAAAACATCAAAACAACTCATTCTGTTCTGGAAGAGTTTTTGCGAGACGTTTCAGATAATCTTACGGTCTTTTTGTAACAATATAGTATTATTTTAAAAATATTCTTTAATTTTGTTTAGGCTTTGAATAAATGTAAATAAATCAAGAGTTGGATAAAAGAAACAGTCCATGCTAAAAAGAAAATAAACACAAATAAGGAAGCGTTTAATTGGCTTTGGAACTAATTATAAGGGGATAGAATCCAATAAATACATTGTAAAACTGACGTCTTTACTATTGGGCTATATTACATGTCAAGGCGGAAAATTGACATAGCACGTAATGGCAGCCCGGACCACCCAAGAGCGGCATAACGTGGCTCAATTAATAAACACACTATACACGGAACATATGGGAAATGAAAATAACTTTTTATAGTCTCTCCAGTGCCATTTACAGAAAAGATAATAAAGTAAGGAACAAATTAAACGGGCTTTAATACATTTTTATTTTTGCCAAACTGCTTCGAATAACCGTCGTCAAGAAATGCGGACTCGAGCCATGTTTATCTTGTTAATTTAAATAACAGCAAAAATAAAAAACTTTATGATTTTTCACTGTTCGATTATGATTTTAATATCACTGTAAATGATCTATTACGAGCAAAAAAGAGAGAATGAACCATCTTTGGTTCATTTTCTTCATTTCATAACGGTAACAGCGTATTAAAAAACATAATAGAAGCGGTATATAGTAATTTCGTAAGAGATGCAAGTCACGAATATTATGCGCAAGTAATTTTCAAAAATTTATATCCTATGAAAATTGTAATATGCCCATGAAAATCCTGTTATAGCTTCCTATATTATTTAGCCAACAGTAAAGATATTAAAAATGAACATTATGTAATGGAAAAGATATATTTGTCATTAAAGATAGCACTGTATCTTTGATTACGGCATTTTTTAGATATTAATCCATAGAAAAGACGTGTATATCGTGACCAAAGAAGTTATGTATTTGTTTAATTTTTTTATAATATATTTATTTCAATAAAACATCACTTTCAAAAAAAAACTAACTAAAGCTAAACCTTCAATCTTATTTAAGATCGAAAAAATTTAAGGTAAAAATCTTAAACAATTTTGACATAATTACATAAGGCAGCTTTCCTCTGTGGATTACCTGCTTTATCCATATATTTTACAGTTTATTGCCAAACCAAATCTTTAATAACGGTCATTACTATTGTATCTTTAGAATTCCAAAAGATACTTGGTTCTAGGTCTGTCCAACTACCTGTTTGACTGACAAAAAGCTAAGTAAGCAGTTTAATCTTCCCTTTTTAGATATTTTAAAATAGATTTCTGCTATATTTTTTCTGTATAACATTTGAAATTAGAAAAAATAAGATAAAAAAATATGACAATAAATGAAGATGTAATATAAAAAATACCAGATACTTTCTTATACAATGTTGTATGAAAAATCGTTATCTTAATACGTTAATTCCGAAGTTCCATGGCCTCCTACCCTACACCGAAATATTTCGGCATAATTAAATGTTATAAAAGTTAATTAATTATAAAAATTCGATACGCGTATAGGTGCTGTAAAATTGATTTTTACGAGGTTTAAATTATATTCATCTGAGTTGCTCCAAAGAATAAAACAAAATAAACTAATTAAAATCTAACAAATAACAAATATCGTTAATTTTAAGAAAAATATTATTTATGTACAGGAAAATTCAGTAATTATTACAAAGTATACTATATTATAAAGGAAGACAATATTTTTTGTTTCTACTTAATAGCAAAAAGTACGTAATAAAAAAAAATTATACAGGGTGAGTCTTAAATAAGTGCAAATATTTTCAGGGCTGGTAGATCTGGATAAAAGAAACATATTTTCTCTTTACCGTTTTTCATCTAAGTCCAAAATAACCGAGTTATTTTACTATAATTCTATATATTTCCAAAAAAAAAAGATTTTTTGCTTAAATTTTGAGAGTCACTGGATCTTTTCTGGGTTTTCTTTCTTGTAAATTTAATCCACTACATCTGTTGCCATATTATCAAGAAATTATGTTTTTTAGCTAAAAACTAAAAAAAATCCAAATTTTTTTCGAAAAATTCAAAATTCATTTTCGCGAAAAAAAACTCATAATCGTGTTTGTGGGGTCGAAATATACTGCCCCTTAAAATATTTGCACTTATTTAAGGCTCGCCCTGTATAAGAATTTAAAAAACAAGATACATAATTATAATTTTTTAGGAAAAAGTACAGTAATCCTTTAAGAAAAATTATATTTTCTTTTTTTTATATTATTTATTTAAAGAACTATTAATTGTATTATCAAAAATATAAAACGTGCAGTAGTCTAGCGAGTTATCAAAATTTAGTGGGGAGAAAAATAAAAAAATATATATAAAACCTTCAAGTTTAAAAAAATATTAAATTCATAAATGTAGGTATTTTAATTAGTAAATTAATATTAACTTTATTACATTAATATTAATACTAATTTATACTATTTAATATTAATTATATTTTAATTAATACTGTAATGACACGCTATTAATAATGTGGAAATCTTAAAATATTGAAGGTTTAGAGATATACAGTTAGGAAAGTAATTTTTAAAAATGTTTATTCTATTTCTATTTTTTTGTCAAAGAGATTTACTTAAAGTAATTTTGTAGTTCGTGTAGTAGAATAATTGTGGAGTATCCTGATGCCAAAATATAAAAACGCCTGTTCTTCCAGCATGAATCTGTGGCAAGTGTGGTATAACTAAGCCATGGAGAATGTTACTGGTAATAAGATAAGCCTATCAAAGACAGAGACCACCCAAGGAGCTGGACTCTTTATTAAAATACTATTACATCTTGAAAAAGGTTTAAAACACAGGTGAACACTAGACTCGGTCGTAATTATGATAATCCGTGTGTCTGAATTCTGAATCTAAGACCGGGAGATGTAATTTGGCAAGTTTTCTTTCTTTTTCTTCGTACTTTTCTCTTGTGGCCGAATAATGAATGGGTTTTTTCCTTTGGGCGTTTTTTATCGATTCTAACGATCGCCAAATACGTGCAAAAGCAATCGTAATCAAGATAAGTAGTTAAGTCAATAAACGCGAATAGTTGTATGCATATTGATTATGGTTTTTAGTGAGAACTGTTTGGAGGTGTATTAGGAGCGATGGGTTCTTAAATATGTCCGTAAATAATTAAGTGACGTTAGTCCAGAGTCGTAAAAAGATAATAACATTCTTGCTGATAGAAATTAAGATTAATTCTATTCAAAAATATAAATTTTTTGTTAATATACAGTTAAATATAGATTAGGCTGAAATGATTTTCTTTCTGAAGAATATCTAATATCACTGATCGAGATTATTATATATTATTATTAATAACGATGCAAAATTAAAAAGGTAGAAAACTCAATATCAATTACAAAAAATTCAGTAAATATTTAAAAATTAAAAAAAAACGAAATATGAAGATTATGCCCAAAACAACCCTAAGAAACTACAAAAATATTCGTTTTCGCTTCTTCACCTGTATTTTCTTTCAGTAACTTTGAAAACCCTATACAGGATGAGTCTTAAATAAGTGCAAATATTTTCAGGGCTGATAGATCTCGATAAAAGAAACATATTGTCTCTTTACCGTTTTTCAAATAAGTCCGAAATAACCGAGTTATTTAACTTTGAAAATTAAAAAAAAAATTTTTGCTTAAATTTTGAGAACCACTGGATCTTTTCTGGGTTTTCTTTCTTGTAAATTTAATCTACTACCTATGTTGCCATATTATCAAGATATTAACTAAAAATTAAAAAAAGTTTCAAAAAAATTCAAATTTTTAGAAAAAATCTCATAGGCGTATTTCTGGGATCGAAATATACTACCCCTAAAATATTTCCACTTATTTAAGACTCACCCTGTATAGGGTACTGAAATAAAATACAGTTCTATAACTTTACGTACTTTTTAAGTAACTGTCATCAAGTTTGATTTTATGTAATGTCATGTCGGTTAACAAAACATCAACGGTTTTAATAAATGTATCTGTAGAAAAAAAATAAAGTGTTCTACTAGTAGTTACCTTAAGATGATCTGAGTAAGATTAAGATTATCTGAGTAATGACCAAAAGAAAATAATACGAAAATATCCATAGATTTTTGAAAGATTATCTTATTAATATATTTTAAAAATGTAAAGCAGGTTTTTTAAATATTTGCAAAAATAAATTAAAAGTAAAAGAAAAAGGAAGAAAATAAATATAAAAATGAAAAACAGAATGAAAAAAAAATAACCAAAATAAAAAAATACATAAATGTAAAGTACAAAATGTGCAGTAGCGACTTAAATATCGGCAAAAATGAAAGAGAGAAAAATCAAAAAAATTCTGTTCCAGAGGCAAAATTCCCAGCTAATTTATTAATTCCCTAATTAATAATAATAATAAATAAACAACTTAACAAAATTAAGTGCAAAAAACAAAGTAATGACCAAAAGAAAAAAATACGAATATATCCATAGACTTTTGAAATATCTTATTAATATGCTCTTAAAATGTAAAAAATGTAAAGCAGTTTTTTTAAATATCTGCAAAATTAAATTAAAAGTAAAAGAAAAAGGAAGAAAATAAATATAAAAATGAAAAAAAAACTTAACCAAAATAAAAAAGTACATAAATGTGAAGTATAAAATGTGCAGTAGCGACTTAAATATCGGCAAAAATGAAAGAAAGGAAAATGAAAAAAAAAACTAAAATTGACAGCGACACCCTGCCTCGGTGGTGGAGCAAGTGAATCAAGAACAGGGGCGGATCCAGGCCATGTGACTGGCGCCCAGAGGCCCCAAGGCGGCCGGCCGCATTCGAAGAGCGGGCTTCTTTTGATGGACCACACAAGACGCCACGTTGGTGGTCCTGCTTACATCCGCCGAACAAACCAAGGTTAGCGTAACGCGGCTGTACGCCATCATGCACTCGCTGCCCATTACATTCGGGAAATGATTTAGATTTTATTTGGGCCCAAGAGCCCGTTACAAAAGGGCTAAAACAACCACCGCACATCACACTCAAACAAATTATTAAGTTTTTGTATATTGACTTCGATTTTTTAACTATCTAAATACTTAGTACAAGCTTGTAAGCGGTTTTTTATTCGCCAAAAAAAATTGCCCAACCAACAAAAGATGCTTTATGTTTCGGGGGGTGTTTCTCTCCCCATCGTAATCGAATAAAACGAAGAATTTATTATAAACTCTAAATTATGGAGTGTAGAGATGAGGAGAAATATCTCTTATAGGACTTTATTTAAAAAAGTGGTCACAAAAATGGGAAGAATAAGGGTTCACCAAATGACCACAGTAGCGCTAATGACACATAAATCTAAAAAATAAAAAGTAACTATAGATAAGAGAATAAAAGCAGAGATAACTAAGTAACATAATCAAACATTACCCAGAAAAACTTTGTTTTTATTTTTTAGAATATAAAACAATTATTATTTTTATATATTAGAGGCCCAGTCTTGTTGCTGATAAAAATCGATAATTTATTTCATGTGACATGAAAATAAAATTTGTATTTTTTTGAAACCCGCGCCTTCACATTTCCTGGTCAAAAAATTTTCGGCGCATATTTTAAATTTTAGGTTTTTGCTACAGTAACGCCATCTTAAGTCTTCCCTTTTTTATGACCACTTTTTAAAGCACGAAGATATTTCTCCTTATCTTTACACTCCATACTCGAAATGTAAACTACCCAGAGAATTTCTTTACAAGTAAAGACCCTCTGAGAAGTATGTACTTAGGCTAAGATTCAAAATCCAGTAGCATTTTACCAAAAATATTTGTAATACCTAATAAAATTAAAAAAAACCTTCGTTTAAATAAAAAAAATATGACTTGAGGGACACTAACTTAAAATGTATATTCTTTTATTATATTGCTGGATAATAAATAATAACAAATCATTTTTGAAAAAAGAACGATGTGGCAGATAAAAATGTATTCACTCTGTATCCATTTATTACGAGTGGCAATGTCAAATTTTATATCACTCGTAATATTAACGAATACATTATCGCATGGTAAATTGACTGGCATATCCCATATTTCAAGCGTCACGGCCACCGTGGAAGAATAAAAAAAACATCGGACGTCAATAAATCTACGTTGGAAAGGCAAAGAAAACTTATAGAGCCCTCCGATTCAAAGAATACAGTTAAAATGACCGCAAACGTCTTAGAAATGTCTCTGTTAGGACCTTTTACCTACTGCGATCCGACACATCTGGGAAACAAAGTCATACCAGCCCAAAAATTCGGAACCTAGAATAGAGTTCGTCTCGGGTACCGGTATAGAAATGATGGACGCATAACCGCGGTCATTTTGAGAATTTCAAAAACTGAAGCATAATATATATTTTAAATCGTTAGTTGGTATTCATTGTGCACACAATGTGACGCCTGTTACTAAATTTAATAATGGGTGGCTGTTTAGTAGGCAAACCTGCTGGCCGAATTTACAAAATTACATAAATCACCTGGTGACGTCAAAATGGCTAATGAATTTTTCATTCGCTAAATAACATCGATTTTTATTTTAATTATGTCGCATCTACATTTCGATTTTTCCACTCCATAAATGACATTATTTAACATGTAATATTACAGGAAATACATGTACTGAGAACTTCCTAACTTATTCTCACTGCCGGTATTACAATATAAAATTAAAAATCTACGACAGTACACACCAAAACACTTATTTAAACTCTGATGAGTACACGTTTTGCTAACCATGTGCATATTTAAGGGAAAAATAGTTCAAGGACTGCTGAGTAAAAACTCTTAATAGGTATCTTATTTAATATTAATATTTTTCACATAGATAATGTGTATTTACTTGTACTAGCGAACAGAAATATACAGGGTGGTCCGAACTGTATTCGGGAAATTTCGGCAGCATGCTCCTGATAAACCTAAGTAAAAATGTTCTCGTAAATGCTTCGTTTCTGAGATACAGGGTGTAGAAATTTCATTTTTATTTCGGTTTTTTTCCAAGTAATATCTGAACTATTAAACAATAAACTGAAAATTGGTGATTGGGTGTTTTTTTGATAAGAAAAATTTGGTTTCGGACGAAAAGTTATTATTCTTCAAACCAGATAAAAATGTGTAGGTGACCACTATTTGTACTAGGTGGATTCTATTTGCTACTACAAGTAGGGGTCATTTTGACATCGAAATCAAATTTCTCATGTCAAAAAGTACCGAGGCACCAATTTCCACTCAAAGATCGATATTGATTCAGAAATTATTTGGAAAAAATCGAAATAAAAATGAAACTTCAACACCCTCTATCTCCGCATTTTTGGACATAAATTTAATCGAACTTTTTTACTTATTTTTATCGATAGAATATGCTGACGTAGTGTTCCGAATATAATTCGGACCACCCTGTATAATAATCATACCATAGGGACTAAATGTTTCTCAACTAACAACAAACAAATTTTGTACAAACTAAATTATTATTTTAAAAAATATCCATACATTTCTACTAATGTTAATATACGTTAGTAGCAAAAATCGCAGAAATGAAACTTGAAATAAAAAATATTGGATAGATACATATAAAGGTCATCCTCAACAGTCCTTGGTCCAAGAAAAATCACAAAACAATTTGGTCTACCACCAACTAATAGAACGAAGTGATTTTGTGCACAGAAAAGTGTTTTTTTCTTGGACTAGACAAATTTCTTTAAGATTAAATAAAATATAATGAAACTTTGAAATGTTATTATAAAAAACCTCTTTTGAATTTGACATTAATCCAAATGTTTCTTAATGCCAAAAGAATTTATTATTATTTTGGGTATTTTAAGGACTATCTATTAGCGATTTGCGGATTGTAAAATCAAATTACCTGGTCAAGTTGTGCCAAGGCAACGTCAGCGTCAACCCAGCCGGGCCTGGTGTACAGATCCGATTCATGACGAGAGGCCGGCCCTGTGTCGGGCTCTGCCTCAAGCCCTGCGGCCATCTGTGCCTATTCAGGGCCTGGAAGGCCCTTTTCTGTCCTCCGCTTCATTTAGAACTTTACAGACATCCCCATTGCCTAGCAACACTGAAAATTTCAAGAAAAATCCGATGAGCAACTTTTCGTCCACCCTGTATATCGTTAGCCACCAAAAAATTTAATAAAATGTAAAAAAATTAATGTTATGCATTATGAAATTGTTATGTTTAAATAGTAATGTAAGTTTACTAAGTGCGCCACTGAATGGCACATGTCAATTGAAATTACTATGTTTTATAATATGCTATAATTCCCACTACCACAGCTCAGAGGCGTAACAAATGCTTTTAACAAACATATTCGGACTTAACATAAATAATATAGTTTATATCAACAATCTTAACAAAAATCATGCAAATATAATTAAGAAAAATCTAATACAGCCATAGGCGTATGTAATAATAATGTTATCAATGATAAGAATAAATTATTATACAAATCCCATGTTAATTTTTAAATACTTTTATACATATTCTAGGAAATAAAAAATTCCGGTTTAAATAAACTAATACAGTGTGACAAAAAAGTTTTATGATCGAGTAGGCTTTGGATACATAAAACTTTCAGATCATAAATATAATACATTTAATTATTATTTTATAAATATCCGATTAAATGAAACAGCACAGAATTATTTCGCAACTCTGACCTAAGAATGTATATTTTTATTTTTATAATTACATTGTAATTAATTTTTTGGATTTTAATATCTTAACTAGTTCGAACTGGCTTGATTTAATCTTGTGGTTTCAGAGAGCAATTAAAACCTTTTAATAATACAGAATTTTATATGTCCTGGTTTGGGGTTTATAAACTTCAGACTCCCCGAAATATATCAGTTGCAGCTGAGAGTCAAATAAATAGAATACTGTGTCCTTTAAAGATTAAATTTTAAGACAGTCTGGCAACGCCGGTTCTACCATAAAGAATTTAAGAGTAGGTTACTTACTAAGTTTTTTTCATCCTGAAGATAGAAAGTACCTATTTTGTCTTGGCTATTTTACCGTTCCCTTCCGATCAAAAAATTATACAAAATTCTTGTTATAAATCGCAATCAAGATGCGGATTTATATAGCTTTGATATGCTAAGATTATTTTTTTATTAATAAACATTGTATATATTTAAAATAGAAATTTTAATGAAAAGAGGGAATATAATAAAAGAAAAAAAAATCTTAAAAGGGATATTTTGTGGTATATAAATTGTTATTATGTCACTATACGAAGAGGTTTGTTTGTAAACAGTTCTGATTGGTTAAAAGATTTTTTACCGATTTTTCTCATAATCATGAATGAAAATTTGTGAATTTTTGTTTAAAATAGCTCGGAGTATGTTAAATAAGATACGATTTAAATCCTTACCGGGTATAACTGTCAATGTCCCCAGTATAAACAAAAACATTTCCCCTGGCTTGTCTCAATAACAGTCCCGACTGAAGAAAAGCCGAATTTTTTTGCGGTTCATTTTCCGAAAAAGAAAGAGAGACAGCAAAATGGGGCACAGGCACTACTTCACTTGGAATCGATTTGAGAATGATTGAAAACGTTTATTCGGTACACACGAGAGTCTGTACGTCTTTGAAGGCTTAAAGAAACGTAGGTTGAGACCAATGCTGACCGTCTACCAGCTCTTCCCGTACTAACAGTGAGCCTGTAGTACTCCTAACGTCGATGGTGGACCTTCCATTCGTTCATTGTGAGCGTACGACCGTGGCCGATTCAAACCGATCGCAGACCACCCACATGTATATGTAAAGTCTCAAAATTACATTAGTTATGTTTTTTTGTCACCATTTGCGGTGAACTTGCTTTAAAAGATGATCCCTTGAACCCCACCCAAGAAGCAACACTAATCTTTAACAACCCTGAAGACGCCTGTTCGATGTTTGCTCGACTTTTTCTCTGTACCGACCAAAAATAACGTTTTTATTAAATTGTCCTAACAGAAAACCATTCTGAACAACTTAAATTAATTTTGTTTGGTTTGGTTTGGATATTATTTGTTATTCGTTGCCAAATTCATATATTTAAAGATCTCTATCCAAACTTTATTCATTACAAAAATCACTAAAAATATAATAAAAATACTCGAGTTGTCTTGCTCTCATATAACTACATTAATTATAGTTTGCTGCTCTTATTTGATTTAAAAAAATCCACCCTAGAAAAAAAGTCTAGATCCGATTCTGTATGGTACTATTTTTTAAATTTTTACTTAACATTATGTTAACTATTTTCTTGTTCATTAATAATTTTAAGAGTTGTTATTGCAATTATCCATATATTATTCAATAAATTTTATTAGGCATATTCTTTCTTTAGCTATTAATATTTGATTTTCTTCATTATTTTTTAAATTAATATTTTAATGTTATTTTATTTTTATATTTTCTTATTAACACCAAACAATGCGATATTTGTTAATTTTTATATGCTATTATTTAAGTTTTTAAATTTCTTGACATTTATTTCTCCCAGTGTAGAACGAGGAATAAAAAATATCAAAAATATGACGATTCTCTATTTAGAAAACATGTAGAGAAAAAAAAGTTCTTTAAAATAATGACATTTCATTAGAGGGAAATCCACAAATCAAAGTTGTATATGAAAAAATATGAATAAATGAATAAACTTGAAGCAAAAAATAGAAAAAAATTAGTAAATAAATACAGGGTGTTCCAATATCCCGTGGACATAGAACTACTACGTATTTTTGGGATCAAAATAAGTCATTGGATACAATTTACCTCTATACAAAAGTGCCTCGTTTGTCCGCTAGAGAGCCTCAAACTTTAAAAAAAATAACCACATTTTGTCATATATTATATTGCCTGTCTATGTTTTGCTTAGTGATTTAACATTATTTGACTTTCACAACAATCAAGAAAAAATAGGAACTAAAAGATTTTCTTCTCGTAAAATGGTCTCTCTAGCATTTACTATATATTATTTTTTTGTCTCTTGTAAAAAAAGCCACATCGCATAGTTTTTGAGAAAACAATTTATTTTTCCAAAGCAGATCTTCAAAATATACAGGAAGTTCCAATATTCCGTGGACATAGAACAACTACGGATTTTTTGAATCAAAATAAGTTAATTGCACATAATTTACCTTTATACAAAAGTGTTTCGTTTGTCCGTTAGAGGGCATCAATCAAAAGTAAACCCGAACGTTAAGTAATTTAATTTCTAATTAAATTTATTATTTTTTTAAGCTTTTTAAAAAGTGATTGTCAAATATAATTTGCGATAACAACATAAAATTCCATATTTTTGCAAACTAGATTATTAAGAGCATACTAGATTGATGTGATGGGAAACACTTTTTGGAAGTCAGCTTAAGAAAAATATTTTTTTTCCTCAAAAAGTATGTGCGGTGGCATTTTTTTACAAGAAACAAAAAATGTCAAAATAAAAACACTAAATCACCACAATACACCAAAACACTTTTACTTTTACACTGGACGCGCGTTTCGCTAACCATGTTAGCATCATCAGCAGATGATTATAAACTAAAGTACAATCTACAAGTTGAGCGTTTATATACTCGCTCAGTGGGCCCCGAGTGGGCGTGGCAAAATCTAGCCAACCGAGTCAGAGCCAATAACAGTTAGATTTCCGCCACTAGAGTAGTAGGAACAAAGAACTTGAAGGAATTGGACCGTTGACTCTGTTCATACTATCTTTACATTTATTAATTCTGATGCTTTCATATGCATCTAATTGTCTGTAATTTGAGACTTGTTTAATTAATTTTAAATTATTAAGATCTATACAATGTTCATTATCAACAATATGTTCGGCAACGCAAGATTTATCCGGTCTACCATATCTTATCTGAGCTAAATGTTCTTTAAATCTAGTTAATATTGATCTAGTTTGCGCAACATATTTCTGATTACAATCTTTACAAGACATTTCATAAATACCTGACCTTTCCAGTGGAGGTGTTTTATCTTTTGGATTACCTAATAATTGTTGTAATTTATTATTAGCACTATACACAAGTTTATAATTGACATTCTTAAAAATTCCTTTTAGACCACGGGATAACTCTCTATCAAACGGTATCGAAAAATATTTAGACGTATCTTTCTCCACTTGAAAAGTCGAATTTTCAGAAATCATTAACCTATACCTACGTTTTCTAATTAATTCTTTTATTTTGCTGTGTAACACTGTGTTTTTTATTTTGCTGTGTAACACCAAAGGTTCCAACCCTCAACTGTAACAAAAAATGTAGTAAATATTAGAAGTACCATTTTAGGAAAAAAATCGGTAGTCGGTTGAGTTGGAAAATTTGTATACTAAAATGTATGTGTAGGGGTGGTTTGGTTTTCACCCTTCCCATGCTTTTTCTTGATTTTTGTGAAAGTCAAATGTTAAAGCGCTTAGCAAAACATAGACACCGAAAATCCCATTAAAATCGGAATAGCGGTTCTTAAAATATCTGTTTATTTTAAACTTATTTTCAAATATGTGTTTATTTTTTTAAAGTTTCATGCCCTCTAAAAGACAAACAAAGTACATTTGTATAGAGGTAAAGTGTGTCCAATGAACTTATTTTAATTCAAAAATACGTAGTAGTTCTCTGTCCACGAAATATCCGGACACCCTGTATATTAATTTCTTAATATATACGTACTGTTGATAAATATAGCTCAAAGGAATTTTAGTTCCAAATATAATTTGTCAAAGTGGTAATTTGGCATTATATACATAATTTAGGAGACATTGTTTCAAAAATAAAGTTACAATGTATGAATATACAGTGCAACTAATCTACAGTGAACATTAGTTCTATTAGGAGACTCAAAACATGTTTCATGCATTGTTAAATTAAGAACTATACAGGGTGTCCCAGAAATAAGTGCAAGTATTTTAAGGGGTGGTAGATCTCGATAAAAGACACATATTTTCTCTTTATCGTTTTTCAAATAAGTCCAAAATAACGAAGTTATTTTACTTTGAAAATTTCCAAAAAAAAATATTTTTTGCTAAAATTTTGAGAACCACTTTCTTGCAAATTTAATCTAATACCTATGTTGCCGTATTATCAAGAAATTATGTTTTTTAACTATAATAATAATAATAGCTCCCGTGTATAGCGTTTAACGCCTTGGGAGTAGCAAGGTGCAGCTTGCCATACTAGAGCCGTTCGCTAGCACTACGCTTCAACCGCCTATTATTAACTCAGGATTGTGAATCCCAAGTACTCATTTAAGGCTGAGTCGACCTAGGTACCCAAATTATTTTTATTTTAATAAAAATAGTCGGCTGATGAAATGCCGGCTGTGGGATTCGAACCCACTACCTTCAGATTGGTAGACGAGAGCCTGTACCTCTACGCCCCCGGGCACTTAAATTTTTTTTTAACTAAAAACTAAAAAAAATTCCAAAATTTTTTTCAAAAAATTTCGAATTTTCAATTTTTTTTAGCGAAAAAAAACTCATAGGCGTGTTTCTGGGGTTGAACTATACTACCAGTTAAAATACTTGCACTCATTTTCTGGGACATCCTGTATAAGAAAGCTAGGAAGATTATTTTAAGAAGATTCAGACTAGAAACACAGTGTTGTAAAAGAGGCGTAAAATGATATTTGGAATTCTTGGGTTATTTTCTGAAATAATAACGACTGTTTTCTTCCGGATTGATGTGGATTCTTCCGTTTCTTTTTCTTGTTTATTCTGCAACAGTGCCGTGTCTCTTCATTTTCGAGATGTGCCGCCTGAACAAACTGCTCTCGACCGGCATATTTTCTAATTTCCTTTTTATTTTTTCAATTTGAGAAGCCAAACGACCCACTAGACCTGCTAGTTTATTATTCCGCAGTTCGTTTAAGCTCGACCAGGTTCATATATTTAGTTCTCTCTTGTTGGTTTTATTAATTTGGGACTAACGATTTCGAAAAACATCTCAGTTGATTGAAAAGAAAAAAAATTAATTTTTTACAGACCCAAAAAATACAACTTTTAACATTTGTTAGTATTTACATATTTTAACAATTAATATGTATTTAGTTTTATATATATCAAAACCCGAGTTAAAACGTTCTAAGGTTCTAATATTCTGAATCTACATAATATTTCATATAAATGCTGAAATTTTCATAATTTTATTGCTATGTTTTACTGTTTCTAAGGCCTTTGAAAATAAAAAAGAACCAAAAATGGGCATTTTTTGACATTTTTCCATACCTACCTCCGTCATCAAAATTGACGATTTTCTTCATGTCACCGATAAAACTACTCTGTTATTTACTAATTAAAAGGCGTAGCATAAGAAAGTATAGACCTTTGTACTCTTACGTGAACAGTAATTGATGTATGGGATGTTTCACCCTTTTCAAAAAAAGCCCACAAACAAGGGTTCAAGAAACTAATTTTCTCACAAAGCCAATATATCTAAGCCTTTAAAGGTGCATATATTCTATATCTACATAAAATTTTCTATAAATAGTGATATTCTTTTATAAATTTATTGCTATGTTTACTATGATTCTGAGGCCTCTGAAACTATGTAAAAAATAGCCAAAAATGGGCATTTTTTCGACATTTTTCCGTACATATACTAATGAAATTTGTCAATTTTCGTCATGATACCGATTTGGTTAATAAAGAACAGTGATAGATGTAGGGGACTTTTTA